TGTGCCAATCATGGTAATGGATACCCATGGTGGACAGTGTTGGCTGGAGCTTCCCGACTAAATCAAGCCTGGAAGCAGGAGCGGCATCCACTTCTGAAATGGCTTGCCTCCAGAAACTCTATGTACGAACAGTGCTCAGGTCGTTCGTTCATAGGGTCGCTATGAGTCATCTACGACTCCATGGCATCAAACAACAACAACAACAAATCTCTTTTCAGATTCATTTTAAGTCTTTAGTAGTTTTCTTTTTTTTGTATTTATTTGGCTGTTTTTGTCACATACTCCTGAAGTTTTTATTAAAGTTCACTCACCATTTCACTCCTAACATTTAATCTTTTTCACCCTGCCTGTTGTTGTCTAGTCAAGTCTGCCTTATGTGATCCCATGTATTTTCAGAGTAGAACTCGGGGTCCATAGTTTCCCAACTATATTGCTAAGATTTTTCTTCTTTGGAACTGGTGGCGAATTCAAACAACTAACCTTTTGGGTAGTAGCCCAGCACAGACAATTTCCTCTAGGGCAAAACAAAGCACATGCCAACAAAAAAAGTGAATGAATGATGTATTCTATTCCAACTGATTTGAAACAACTGTTCCATATTTTAAATATAGAAATTCCTTGCTAATCTTAGAGGAGTTTTTCCAGAAATACTGACAAAATCAGAGTTGGCAAGTCAAATGAAGGTATTAGAGAATATAGGAACGGTGAAGGAAAAAGAAACAAAAATCCCCTGAGAAAAGTATTTGGAGCCTATTTATGAACTCCTTCAGCAGGAAAGGTCTTCATGGATTCCTGTTTTCCATTTAATCAGAGGACATTGCTGCAACATTGTTATATAAAGAGGCACTTTCTCCTACAGATGTTATGCTATGCTTATACAGACTGTACCCAATGTGAAATTTAACTGCCCTTGTCTTTGTATTCTCTGTTGATTCTTTCTTTATAATCTCTGCTGGGAAAGAAATTAATCTGGCTCCTCTTCGTATTATTCCTGTGAGAAATAGAAGGAGTTGCACTATTAATCCAAAGGCATGAAGTTTCAATTCACCAGATGGACAAAGATGGGCAGTTTCCTCCTGTGTGATTTACAGCTTCTGAAAACCCACTGGAAGTTCAGCTATGAAATAGTTCTGACTTGATGGTACATTACAAAAACATAGCTAGGTCTCTATTACTCAAGAACAGATTTTTTGTTGTTGTTGTTATGTGCCGTCGAGTCGTTTTTGACTCATAGCGACCCTGTGCACAACAGCCCTAAACCCTGCTCTATCCTGCGCCAACCGCACTGCCTCTGACACACCCATCCCGATTACCCCAGTCACTGAATCAATCCATCTCATCAAGGGTCTTCCCCTCCTGTGCTGTCCCTCCACCCTCCCAAGCATGATGTCCCTCTCCAAGGACCCGTCACTCCTGGCAACATGTCCAAAGTATGTCAGACGAAGCCCCAGAATCCTTGCCTCCAAGGAGTAGCTTGGTTTAATCCTCTCCAAGATGAATCTGTTTGTTTTCCTGGCAGTCCATGGTACATTCAGTACTCTTCTCCAGCACCACAGCTCAAAAGCATCAACTCTCCTTCTGTCCTCCCTAGTCATTGTCCAACTCTCTGATGCATAACAAGTGATTGCAAATACCATGGCTTGTATCAGGCGCACCTTAGTCTCCAGAGAGACACCGTTGTTCCTGAGTACTTTGGAGAGGTCCCTAACAGCAGACTTTCCCATCGCGATATGCTTTTTGATTTCCTGACTGCTGGTGCCAAGAGTGTTGACTGTGGAGCCGAGCAAACTGAAGCTGTGAACAATCTCAATCTCTTCGCCATCCATCCTGACGCTGCCATTTGGTCCAGTGGTGAGAATCTTTGTCTTCTTGACATTGAGCCTCAGTCCATACTGAAGGCTGCAGTCCCTGACCCTTCGCAGCAAGTGCATGAGGTCCTCCTCAGTTTCAGCAAGCAGGGTTGTGTCATCTGCATAACGCAGATTGTTAATAGGTCTTCCACCAATCCTGATGCCACAATTCTCCTCATAGAGCCCACCCTCTCGGATAATCTGCTTTGCATACATGTTGAAAAGGTATGGAGACAGGCTGCATCCTTGGCGTACACCCTTCCCAATTTTGAACCATGCAGTGTTAACCTGCTCTGTTCTGACTACTGCCTCTTGGTCCAAGTATAGGTTTCGTATTAGCACAATTAAATGTTCTGGGATTCCCATTCTTCTCAGAGTCAGCCACAGTTTGTTATGATCCACACAGTCAAATGCCTTTGTATAATCAATGAAACACAGATAGACATTCTTCTGGTATTCTCTGCTTTCAGCCAAGATCCATCTAACATCAGCAACAATATCCCTAGTACCACGACCCCTTCTAAATCCAGCCCCCCACCCCCCAACTATGTTGACTGATTAACTAGCCAAAATTTCCCTCTACTACTATTTTTAGTCATCTCGAGATTTTTGACAATAGCATAAGGTAAGACAACGTTCCTCTGTTGTTCCTGGATAGCTCTGAGTCATAGTCACCATTTTTAGGTTTATTATTAGCTATTCCACACAAGTATAATGTGGATTGTGACTTTGTGTCAATTCCATTGGTACAAAAATGTGTCCTTCACATTTTTCTATGTCCACTTTTTTTGTGTGTGGTGGTACAATAGGAGAATGCTTTTGCTCAGTTCCTCATTATAAACAATGAAATAAGTGAACAATCGTTCTCTGATCCTCAAGGTGAAATATGCAATTCAGATATTCAAACCTAAATTGTAACATTCGAGTACATTACTTCATCAGGAACTGAGAACACTGATAATAACGTTCTTGATAATGCCCTATCAAGAAATGTTAAATTCAAGGTTAAGTTTGTGTCTGTTTGGGTATGATTTTGAAAATGGATAGTAATTCTATTATGTTTTTGCATTATTCCTCAAGACCTAAAATGATTGTATTTGGTCTAGTAGTTGGATATGTGCTGATTAAGGAGTATAAAGGAACGTTTGGTGGGTGTTCCCCCCTTTTCTTACTCTTTCTGGATAACATCATCCTTTCCTTTAGCAACTCCTTTGTATTTTGTCTCTCAATTTAACACACCCTGACAAAGATTTTTTTTCAGTTCTGTATGCCTGTGAATGGACATTTTAAAAATATCCACAAACGTTCAAACCTCCTAACTAAGCACAATTCTTTTATTGAAGGTCGAGGAGTCGCCCACGCTGTTTCTATGGGAAAGCTGACTTGGGTATTTCTGTTCTCACAAGTCGAGGGAGCTGGGACTGTCACCATCCCACTGGGAAGGATGGACTCTGCTGGACAAAGGCGCCTCTGTATTCCAAACTGCCCACCTTAAACCAACAGGGCGTCAAGCGCGTTTTCGTTGTCCACGCCACTAAGGGAATCGATTGTAATCACCTGTTAAGGTCTCACAGCAAAGGTGTGCAATCAGCGGGGTGGGCATGTGGGACAGAATAGCTAGTTTTACGGCTCGTCTGCATTCCCCGACCCCCACGGGCGCACCTGGGCGCCATGAAATCCGTGCAATCGGCGAGAGAGCACGTCCTCTCGCGTGGGCTTCCTCACTCTAGACAAGCCTGGAAGCGACGCCCCCTAGAGGCCAAGGGCGGCAAGGGTGGGGCGCCGGAAGGAGGCGGTGTCCGGGAGGCCAGAGGGCAAGCGCGGGCGGGAGGGGCGGGGCGCGGCCTATATAAAGCAGGCGCGGCGGAAAGGGCGGGGCTGGGCAGAGCAGCTGAGTCGCGGAGCGCCGGGCCCGAGGCTGCGGAGGCCAGGGCGGGGAGGAGGAGGAGACAGGGGCGGGAGCAAGAGACGCGAGTGCGGGGTGGCGCTGGTCCACCGCCGCAGCTCTGTTAGCTCCCGCCAGCTTTTGAAGGCGGGTCTGGGCTGCGGCAGCGGCGGCGGTGGGGGCCTCGGCGGCCTGGGGAGGCGAAGCCAGGCTGCGGCGTTCGAGCGAGGGTGGGCAGAGCCGTCGCTGCGGCGAGGTGAAGGGGTAGCGGGCATCCCCGCAGGGCGGGGCCGTGGAGGGCTGGCGCCTCGTGCGTTTGTCTCTGGGTTGTCCACAGCTGCACCTGCAGAAGTGACCCCGGCCGGGCGCTCAGGTTGGGGATGTTCGGAGTGCTGCGGGAAGGGTGCTAATGGGCAGTCAGTGCCTGTCCTGGTGACCCTGCGGGCATTTGGTGGATCCTCTGCTGGTGTGCATAGAGATGCTTAGGGATGCTCCTCAAGCGAGTGGATGGGGACTTGGAGTGCACCCTTAACACTGCCCTGGCCAGAGGTCCTAGGCTCTGCTGGGAGAGAAGCAGCAGAGCCTAGGACCTCTGGCCAGGGCAGTGTTAAGGGTCATTGAGTCAGGTGCTTGATTGATCGGTTGCGAGTGGTGGTGGTTTTCTCTAAAGAAAAAACTGGGGGACCTTCAAAGTTTGAGAAGGAATAGGTCATTCCAAATGTCCAGGAGTGAAGAAAGTTCACTTTCTTAAGCTTCTTCACTTAAAGATAGTTGTAAAAGAATGTTGTGCTTTTGGGATTTCCTTTTAAATGTTAGTGACTAGGTAGGACTATTGGTACAAACAGCTGTCTTAAAGAATCAGTGTGGAAAGCGTTTCTATGTGTGTTTACTTGACAGTGGAAGTAATTCAGTATGGTTTCCCCTTACATGAAGAGAGAAAGTCTAAAACCATTCTTTGACCAGCATTTCTTCCTCCCTGACTTTCTGGAAAATGGAATTTCTGGAAACATTCCCTATATTGTAGATTTTGCTTACATAAAGGCTATCCTTATTGGCTAGTGCTTGGATTAAGTGTTTAGAAAGTCGTGGGAATGGACCAGTAGTATCTAAAATACAGTTAGATCTTGAGCACAGATCTGTGGAAGAGAACTTTAAAGGTGTGAGCTTAAATTTTTCAGGGAAATTAAAGCTTCTATTTTTTTTTTAATTTAGGTTGTTTATTTTTCATTTCAATGAACATCTACAGAGATTTTGGGATTTAAAGCTTCTACTTTTATATTTAACTTTCTCTCCACCCTGTAGGTTCGTCTGTTTCAATGGTGCGACTCTCTTCATCCCCTTTTGGTTGCCAGTCACATTCAGAGGAAGGAAGAGAGGGGAATATGAAGTCAGCCAAGCCCCAGGTGAACCACAGTCAGCATGGGGAAAGCCAGCAGGCCATGAGTCCCCTACACTCGATTCTCACTTCACCTGCCTCTCCTGCTCAGGCATATGAAACCTATATTGATAATGGACTCATATGCCTTAAACACAAAATTAGAAACATCGAGAAAAAGAAGGTAACTCCATCCTCCTACCCTCCCTCATTTTGACATTAAACAAAACTTTAAGAGACATTTTTCCATTTTTCTAGCAGGAGTTAAAGATCTTACTAACTAAAGATATAACCTTGAGATTTAGCTGGCTGGTGGGGGTGGAGAGAAGGCTAAACATTGGATGTATGAAGCATTGTCTTTTTGTCAGCTGAGGAGAAATTGGTTTTTTGTTTGGTGTTTTTTTGGGGGGGTTGTTTTTTGTTTTTTTGTTTTTTTTGGTAGAATTACTATCCATGCTATTGAAATATTTGAAGAACTGCCGATACTAGGTCAGATTAATTAATCGAGTCTGGTATTAATAGTCTGACTTTTTGGTTTGTTTTTCTGTGACTTCCTGTAGCAGTTCATATTGCAGTATAGCTGCTGCAGTCCTTTGGAAGCTTTCTTTAATCATGGTAGAGCCAGAAAATGTGTTCACACTAATTTTAATTTTTGTGTTGCTAGGTGAGGGCTTACAAAAAGAGCCTTGTAATTAAGGAGTCATTCTATCAACCTAACATAGTGAATGCTTATGTAAAGATCCAAATCATTTCTTATTTCCTGAGTCATGTAGTCTGGGAAATGCTATTTTGTGTCAAGATTCCCTGCTGCTTGTGACAGGTAGAGTCGAGTGGCCTAGGACCTAGAACTCTTAAATATTTTATATCCAGGCTTAATTAAAGCAACCACCTTTACCAAAAGTAAGTTTATTTTAATGGAATAATATGAAGGTGTTTTTTAAAAAACACTCTGGCTGACTCTTCTTCCTTTTTTTAAGATAAGGTAGTAAAAGTAATGTGAGTTTACTTTTCCTAGTCTAAAGTTAGTGTTAGCTTCTCTGAAATCCTAGTTTTCATTGGTTGTCTTTTCCATGCATGCAGTAGATCACAAGTGTGATGAGGAGTGTGTTCCTGAATCAGCATAAATTCCCTGTCACTATGAGAAGCTAGTCAAAACTCAAGTCCTAGTGGTGGAGATTCATTAACGTCTTCCCGCAGTTGGAGGAACTATACATGATAAACACACTCAACCTTACCTGTGGCACAACTTTAATTCTGATCATCTATCTGATGGCACCATGCTTTTGGTTCTTAATTCTAGGAAGGTATTTTAGAACCATAAAGCCAGTACAGGATGAGGTTAGCAAATGATTTTAGAATGCCACAGTGAGTTCATATTATTACAGGTATAGTACAATTTATTTTTTAATGTAGTTCCTTAAGTTAAACACCAAATTTAGTATATCAGATGAGGCTACTTTAATGCTGGGGGAGAAAAATCTCTAACATTTTTGAACTTCTGTTTGAATGTTTCCTATTGGGAAGATGCTGTATAATTTAATAGGCAACTAAGCTAATAGTCTAAGCATGATGTTAGCACCAGATTTTTCAACCCTGACACCGCTGACATTTTTGTGCAAGATGGTTCTTTGTTTTAAGGGCTGCTCTGTGCATTGTGGCATGTTTAGCAGCATCCCTGTTGTCTGCTCTATAGCCACAAGATGCTGATTGCAGCCTATGCCCCCTTTGCCAAGCTTTGCAAACCTAAAATATCTCTAGATTTTGCCAGTTATCCTTGGGAAACAAAATTACCTCTGACTGAGCACCTCTTATGTAGGAGCATGTCTTTGTATAGTTAAAATTCTTATATATTAAGTAGCTTAATTATTGCTTAGCTTTTGTAATTCTAGACTAATGTTAATTGTGTAAACATAAACACATATACATGTACATACACATATATGTACTTTGTTTCAGGGGTTGGAATTTATCTACAGTTGTTGCTTGTGAAATATTGCAGAGTGATGGCCTACTGTAAAAACTTTGCTTTCATAAGAGAAAAGCTCTGGTATTTATTTACTTCAGAATTTTATATCAGACATTTAAGTAAAGACATTTAACAAAGATATTTGATTGCTGACTAAAATGTTCTCAGTTCAAGTTCACCCAGATATGCCTTGGAGGAAAGGCCCGACAGTCTGTGTTTTTAAAAAAGAACCTTTAGGAACAATATGGAGAATCCCTGCGACACATGGGTTGCCCTGAGTCAGAATTGATTCAGCAGCAGATATCCTGTTTGTTTGTTTTTAATAATAAATATATATTTCTCTTTTATAGCTCAAATTGGAAGATTATAAGGACCGCCTAAAGAATGGAGAGCGACTTAATCCAGACCAGTTGGTAAGTGGATTATGATGTTTTGGTAGGACTTGCTTTGGTTTGCTTAATAAAATTTTGTGTGGATTTGATGAGACCGGAGACTCTACAGGCTGAAAAAGACTGAGAGTCTACTGACTTTGCCTCCAAGATAGTAGATTCATCCTTTTTTCTGTTGAACTGATAAATAATATGGATGATGAGAAGTAAGGGTTTTAAATAGGAGTGAAAGGTAGTTTTATCATTAAGTTTTAATAGGTTTAAATTTACCCTGAAGTAGATGGGAGAAGGGAATCCTCTTAAATCTTCACTGGAATCTTCTAAACCTTATGTCTTTCACCTCCAAAATATTTCGTTTTTCATGGTGTTTGCAGTTGCTTCTTCCAGGAGGCATGTTTTATCTGATAGTTAAAACAAACAAACAAACCCCAACCCTTGAGTCAATTTCAACTCATAGTGACATAAAACAGAGTAGTTAAGAAGGAAAGCAGGCTGTATCTGTCTCCTGCTGAGTGCTGGTATGTTCAAACTGCCTACCTTTCATAGCACCCAAGTGTTTAACCACTGTCTCACTTGGGCTCCTTATCTAATAGGTAGCTGGCCTTTTAAAATTTTTAAGCTTTCCTATAAACATTGGGTTTCTTACAGTTTTTTCCTTTAAGTATTGCTTAACTTGTTCTTGGTAGACACAACAGTTAAAACAAGTTTTATCGAATTTGGTAAAGGGTAAGTTTTACAATGTAGAAAGCAAAAAGCATAGCATATAACTTCATTGATATTTTGCCACAGCCACATTGACAAGATCACCTTTCCTAGCTAAGGAAAAAATTAAAGTTGGTTGTTGGGTTTTGGGGTTGTTTTTGTTTTAGCTCTTTTTTTTTAAACTTTATTTTAATGAACATTTACAGAGATTTTGGGTTTCTAGTCATTCATTGTTGCATTTTCCTCCCTGCCCCCCTCCCCCCCTTTTCCTTAAAGATGGAACTGAAACTTCTGATTATTTTTGTATCATACATACTAGTATTCAAGGACTTTTCTTTCCTTTGCCATCTTGATTCTTTAGTATTGACTCAGAATTTTGTGAGTTTTGTAGAGGCACAGATTTGACTTGTGTTAGCCATAAGAATAATGTTTTCACTTGGATGGTGAGAGAATTTGTCTGGACAGACATTCCAACATGTCTTCATTTTAAGTAGTTAACTTTTGTTGTAATAGACCTTTGTATAAACATTTCCCTGAAGGAAATGTTCTGCTATAGTAATATTTTTTATTTTGGAGAAGTAAGGAGAATGAGGGTGGATGTTGGTGATTCACGTGTTAGCTCTCTGAGAAATATCAAGGATGTACTGTATTTCAAAACTTGAAGAAAAAAATTTTTTTTAAAATTTTTTATTATTTTTGTGTGCGTGTACCGTCAAATCATATCTGAATGGTACAGGAGGAGATTGCCCCTCCTTCCCTGGCAGAGCATCTGGTGGATTCGAACCGTGCACCTCTGGCATTGTAGTTGCAGCTTCTTGCCACTAGGCTACCAGAGCTCCCCATAACTTAAAGAAAATTTTAATCTTAGTATTTTGTTTTTATGATTACATGTCCTGTCTATAAGGCATAGAAACATAAGAACTTTGATTTCTTGATTAGTATGCTAACAACTTCCAAGTTTATGTGGCTAATACATCTTGTAAATAAGAAATTTGTAGTTTTAGTTGCCCATCTCCTAATTTCTTTCTGTCCCACCTAAACCTTAGTTCTCTTTTAATTTACATCTAGCTCATCAGCGAGTCTGCTGAGTTGGACCTTCAGATTCAGTCCAGAAACTGACCAGAAAACGTCCCCAAACCTCAAACTCATTGTAGCTGAGTTAGAACCAGCCAATAGCTGGCCATGCAGCAGGTTTTCCGAGGCTGTAAATCACGTGGGAGGAGAGTGCCCATATTTCTTCTGCAGAGGGGCTGGTGGATTCAGACTTCCAGAGAGGCCTGCCTTTCGGTTAGCAGCACAATTCCCTAGGCACTAGACCACCATAGGAAATACTTACAAATTTCATTTCTGTCCTCCTTGCCCAAGCTTCACCTTTCATCTGCTTTACTTCCATGTAGATTTTTCTGTTTTCAGCCTCTGTTGCCTACTTTATATGTAATGTTATAGTGTTTACATAGTATATATTTTATGCTTTATATATAGTATATAGTATGTAATATAGTAGCTTCAGTGATCTTGTTCCGATACACCTTCCCCTTCTTTTTAATATCTTTACAGCATCTCCTATACTTCTCCTTGCTAACTTTGTACCAGCTGTACTGGTTGCCTTACTAATCCTCAGATATTGTAGGCAGAGTTCTACCTTAGGGTTTTGTACCTGTTATTCCTAATTCTGGGAAAATTTTCCTTCCACTGTCTGAGTGACTTCTCATTGTCCTTCATCTTTTTATTTGAAGGGCACCTTAGGCATATCCCAAACATACCCATTACTAACTATCCTTAACTTGCTTTATTTCTGTTTGTAGCATTTAGCATTTCTGACAAGTGACAGACTTTTAGGGTTTGGGGTTTTTTTTACTGTCTCTTACAGTTTAAATTTCATGCTAGTCGAGATTTTATCTGTTAACTACTGAATTCTTAGTGTTTATAATAGAAGAATCCTTCATAAGGTAAACAATACACAATTAAGGTAAAATTTAGAACATGTAGACATGTCAGAAGGAAAAAGAAAACCTGTTATCCTTCAAAAAACTGTTGAAATACCTAAAAACATGCAGTTTGTTTTCTCAACTTCTCCTTCTTCTGTTCATCTCTTAATAGAGAACACTTATTGATAGGTTTTTATGTAGTTTTTCAAGTTTAAACATAAAAAGAAGTAAACATCCTTTTTCCGTTCCTGCATTTTCTGTGAATACTTTCTTAGGACTTAATTTTTGTCCCTTTTAAAATACTGTGGTAGTGTTTTCATAATACCTAGATTATAAAGTTTAACTGAATCCTCTGTAAAAGGATTGGAGCCTGATAGATCTTTGAAAATACTGTTTTTTCCTTTAGAAATTCTTAGGATTTTTTTTTTCAATTTTGGAGTGAACTGTCATTCATTACCACTCATCCAGGTTTTAAATTTTATTTGCATTGAATAAAACAAAATAACTATTTTAGAAAAGCTACCTATAGTCTTATTGTGGTTGTTGTTGTTGTTATGTTCCATTGAGTGCTCTGTGACTCATAGCTACCCTGTGTACAGTAGTTCTGAATGTTGCCCTATCTTGAGCCAGTCTTACTACCTTTAACACACCTGCCCCCATTACTCCAGGTATTTTGTCAAATAAAGGGAAAATAACTGTATATTTTCAAGATAATGAAAAACCTATGTATTGTAGTTACTTTCCCTTTATTTATAATTTTATGTTGTTGCATTTCCTCAGGGTCCTTTTTAATGATGATGCAAACTCATTGCTGTGAAGTTGGAACTGACTCATAGTTGACCCTCTCTTTTGGAGGCCGTAAATTGCATAGGAAAAGATGGCCCCATGTTTCTCCTGCGGAGCTACTAGTGGATTCGAACTGCCAGACAGGTGCTGCTTTTAGATTAGCAGAGCAACTCCCTACTGACTAGTGGAACATTTTTCAACCCCTAAATAATCTAGAAGTTTTGTCCATTTTTCTTTCTTATACTCTTAATTCTTTTTCTCCTCACCCTTATAACTTTGAGTTGAGTGAATGAGTACTTCATTTCCTTCTTTCTCTGGCCTCCCAAACCAGTGTGTATTTTTTTTTAAAAAAAAAACTCACTGCCATTGAGTCAGTTCCAATTCACAATGACCCTCTGCCTGGTTTCAGAAACTGTAAGACTTTATGGGAGGAGACTGACCATCCTTCTCCCAAAGGTCTTCTAAAGGCATTGCTTTAGCTGTATACCAAAGATTTAATATTTTCAGTATTATTCTTCTAGAAATGCTATAATTTCAGTGTATATTTCTGTAATACAAAAGTTATATGTATTAATAAATAATACTTTCTGTGGTCTCAATTGCTATTGCAACCTCTCTAACATTCTTAAGCAACTTGGCAAGATTTAGTGGATTGTACTAATATAAACCAAGATAATCTTTTTTAAAATGGTGAGAAGAGTGTTTTAATAAATTTGTTCATAGAGTCCATTTTTTAACTTTAAACGTCTGTTTCTGTTCAGATCTGGATTTGAAATGGAGAACCAAGATTCAAGTGAGTGCTCAAGTAATATAGGCAAGGGGCATTTGATGACTTCAGTGCCACTGATGTTTTTCTTACTAAAGAATTAGAATTTGGTACTTATCCCTTGATGCTGTATTTAATGCACGTGTGTTGTTTAGTTCATTAAAATATACTCTTTCCATTGTAGTTCCACCGCTGTTGTCCTAGTGAAGATGCAAGACATCCAAACTTCACAAAAGCTTCTTTTTTTAATTTATTTTTTTTCACAAAAGCTTCTTAATTTATATCCCTGAAACTGTCCTATCTAGTTCATTAGTCCTACTGTCTCTACTGTCCTTTTTGTGAAACAGAACTTCTTTAAGGTTCTCCTCAAAAGTTTACAAGTCTGTTCAGAATCTTTGGCATGCCAGTTATGGAAGGCTGTGCTTAATGTTAGTGAAATAGTCCATAAAGGACAAATGTAATCCTTAGCCTAGGATTAATGTAGTTGAAAAGAGAAAGGAATTAAACAGATAAAGATAGGATGGATGTTATTTAACTTACTCTAGGCAGTTGAGGATCGTTTCAATAAGAAAAAAAATCCTTTTAAGACCTAACAGATAACTAGAAGCTAATGGGGGAGGGAGAGAAAGAGGTAAATGATAATATAGTTAAAGACTCTGAGTGAGAAAAGAATGTTTTCACCGAGACCTTTTCTAATAGCCTGAAAAGAAGACCAGTGTGGATCCAGTGATGAGACTGGAAGGGAAAGGCAATTAATAAGTCTTCAGATCCAACTAAAAATTGCATTTTCTTCAGATCATCTAAAATTATATAGATGTGATTTAAATGGGGGAAAATAACTGTGGAGTTGGAGGTTTTTTTTTTTTTTTAAAAATCACATTAAACCATTACGGTTGCAGTGTAAGGAATGGTTTGGAGATAATAAGAATGAGCATAAGGAGGCTAGAAAAGTGTTGGCTGTGGTCTAGATGAGAGAGTATAGGAGTTGATACTAAAGTATTAGCAAAAGTATTTGAGTACAGTAATGAGATTTGCTTTGGGAAAGTCTGCTCTCAGAGACCTCTCCAAAGTACTGAAGAGCAACAGTGTCAGTCTAGAGACTAAGATGTGCCTGATGCTGGCTATAGTCTTTGCAATTACTTGCTATGCATCAGAGAGCTGGACAGTGATTAGGGATGATAGAAGAATTAATGCCTTTGAGCTGTGGTGCTGGAGAAGAGTATTGAATATACCATGGACTGCTAGGAGAACAAAAAGGTTCATTCTAGAGAGGGTGAAACCAAGCTGCCCCTTGGAGCCATGGATTCTAAAGCTTCATCTGACCATACTTTGACCATGTTGTAAGGTGGGACTAATCCTTGGAGAGGGACATCATGCTTGGTACGGTGGAGGGACAGCACAAGATAGGAAGATCCCAGATGAGATGAATTGATTCAGTGACTAGGGTAATGGAGGTGATTATGTTAGAGACAATGAGATTGGCACAGAATAGAGCAGGGTTTAGAGTTGTTGTACATAGGGTCGCTATGAGCCACAGGCGACTAGACAGCACATAGAACAACAATTAGATTTGCACACAACAGCAGCTATTAGAGATAGATAAAAGAGGTTACCATCATGGTTTGATAAGTTGGATGTAAGCCTAGAAGAAGGAACCAGGAAAAGGTTTCAAGATTTGTGATATGAACAGTGGGTAAGATGGTAAAACTGTATTGAACTCAGAAAAACTTGGAGAGAAGGCACTTTAGGGAAGATGGGATTAGAAAACCAGAACTCAGCTTTGCATTTCTCTCCTCTAGCCACTATTGTTTTTTAATGTGCTGTGAGGCACCAAGGGCTGATACGATGTCTAGTAGGTATTTTAATATATAGCTCTAGGACCCAGAGAAATTTGTTTATAATATGTGCATGGCTGCTAATTGAAACCACGCAAGAGATGACCCTAAAGAGACAGTTTGGAAAGCAGAAAAGAAACCTAGCATAGTGTATTTTTTTAAAAAAAATTTTTATTTTATATTGATTTACTTACAAAGTTTGTATACATTGTCATTGTGTTTCATACTATCCTTCATTCACATTGTGTTTCATACAATCATTCCCATTCATTATGTACAACCTTATGATTTCCTCCCTGCCCATTTTCACCCTTCAAGTATAGAGAGTGTTGACAAACACTCTCTTGTAATGTTTGGATAATTATCTTGTGTCCTTAAGTCAGAAACAACTGATATCTGACCCTCTAGCAGGTTTTCATGGGAGGAGATTGTTATCATTCTCCCACCAAGAAGCTGGTGGCTTTGGTATTGCAGCATAGCTTCTTGCACTAGGGCAACACAGTTTGAATAATAATGGTTAGTATATCACTATTATCCAAATAAATATCCTAGTAAATACTGTATTTACTAGAGCTGATCAGTACATGGAATGATTTTTAACTGTGCCTAGAGAATAGAAAATGGGCACAGGGCCAGGAGCGTCTTTTTGAAAGAGAGTGAGACTAGCACAGCCCCTCCCCAGAGTAGAAAGCAGATAAAGAGCCCACAGCCCATCCCCATGGTGCCTCTCTATCCACACCAGCAGCTTTATTCATTATTGGCCTACAGCCTTTACTCACAGTTAGAGAAGTAAGTTGCAAAGTGGAGGAGGCAAAGAATATCCCCCAATACCTTGGATCTGCAGGTTTTAGCCCAGCAGCTTTAAGGATGAGCTTAATTCTGACTCTAGCTAAAAACTCTCCTGGTGGAATGGTAAACACAGAATCTGGATTGATGAGAGTTGAAGAGGAAATAGAGACTGTAGACATTTTAAGATTTATCTAAAATCAGGAGAAAGTGATTGCTAAATAGTAATCCCTTTTCTTGTTTGAGTTATCGAACATAAACTTTTAAAATCCTCATTTAAGTATCAGCAGAGAATGACAAGCTCAAATGCTATAAAGAAAATCACAGTTAAGATTGATTATGAAAGTAGTCTGAGTAATACTGACTAGTATTTATTTATGGCACAGACAGGATACTTCTTCCATGGTATATATAAAGAGGAAGAAAGGATGAGTCTGAATTAGATGATGGGAAGTTGAAGTAATTACTGTCTAATACTGCTTTTCTAGAGTCAAAGCTAGTGCTCTCTGGGGATTGATGTGGAAGGATGTTTGTGCCATTCTACGATTATCTCTCTCTGAACTCTACCTTATAATTATGTTAACTTGTGTACTCTTGCTTCTGTATGCAGAAGACCTTTCTCCTGTTTTATTGAGTAGATAGATAGTCCTCCAAAATGGCTACATGTAAATTGTACCTAATGAAGCAAGTGTCTGAACTCAACTCAAAACAGAAAAACACATACCGTGGAAGTTCCTTCCTTGTACTTTTTTTCCTGTAATTAATGACCCTGAACTGTTACTGCCTCATTCCTTTGCTTTTGCTTTGATGTTTTTGTTGTGTAATGTTGAGCTGGAACTGACCCATGGTTACCTTCCAGTGGGTTTTTGGAAGCAGTAGGTGGCACAGGAGATTACCCATCTTTCTGCCATGGAGCAGCTGGTGGATTTGAACTTAGTGCATTTGGGTTAGTAGCACAGGTCCTTATCGTATAGCACTTGTTTATTGCCCTTAAATTTGTTAAGGTTGCTTTTTATCCATACAAAATAGCATATATTTTGCAGCTTGCCCTTTTCACTCTTTATATTTAGGACTATTTATATTGATGTAACTAATTTGTTTCCTGTTCTGTGTTAAGTGCTGTTGAGCACAACTCATAGTGACTCTATGGAAAAAGAAAAGATCCTATTCTGTGCTTATCATCTCTTATGTGTTCGATCCCATTGCTGCAGCCACTGTGTCAAGCCATCTGATTGAGAGTCTTCCTCTCTCTGACCTTCTGCCTGTCCAAGCATGATAATCCTTTTCCAAGGACGGGCCTCACCTAACAAAATGTTCAAAGTGTGTGAGACAAAGCATCAGCATCCTTGCTTCCAAGGAGCCATCTGGCTGTACTTGCTCCAAGACATGCGTATACAAGGAAGTGATAGGATAGCTATACTTCAGTAGTCTGTAATAAATGGATATAAGTAGCATGTGCTGGGTTTGGTTTTGGTTTTTTGTTTTTTTTTTACTAAATTATGAACAATTCTATTTTGAGTAATATAATATATATGTGTTACTGTGACAGTAGTTCATAGGGAGTTGTGCTGCTAAAGAATGTCCCAGTTTGAATCCACCAGCTGCTCCTTAGAATGATGTGCAGTCCCCCTTCAGCTTCAGAAATCTAATGGAAGGTCAGTTATGGGTGGATTCCGACTCTACAGCAGCAGTAAGAGAGAATAAGACATTTATCCTGAGGGATCCTGCACGCACAGTGGTCAAAACATTCAACTGCTAACAGAAAAGTTGTAGTTTAAACTCATGAGCTGCCCCATGGGAGAAAGATGTGGAAGTCTGCGTTCATGGAGATTCACAACCTTGAAAACCGCACAGGACATTTCTCCTCTGGATTGTAGGCTTGCTGTGCATAAAAATCAGCTCGCTAGCAGTAGGTTCTGTCATTGGAGTGAAGGGTGTGTCCATAGGTAACACTACAGCTAAAAATGCCCAACCTTGCTAAAATGCTTGAGCTAAGTTACAGAATGGTGAAAAAGAAGTTTCCATTGCTCTATACCTTTTTAAAGACTTAGTATGATAAGACTTTAAAAAAAATTACAGCTTTACTGATTGCATTATGAGAGAGATATATATATATCTCCATAACTTTAAGGCATTGTCCTGCAAGCCATTGTAGAACATTTCAGTGGTTTCCCGTGTTGTTTCCTAATTCAGTTGATTTGTCTTTATATTTCATAGAGAAGTTAAACAATGATCTCTGAATTTTTTATTGTTATGCTGCCAGTGCCTTTCCTCAGTTACAGATCTATTTTATTATAAAAGTTTGTTTTATCATTCACATGTAAGTTTGTAACCCATCTAGACTTTAGTTTATGTATAATATGAAATAAAAATATTTTTCCCTTCCCATAAAGAACCAGTTTTTGTAGCATCATTTGTATGACCTGTCTTTTCTCTACTGATTTGCAGTACTTGTTCTGTTTACGTGGGACTGTGTTTTAGATCTTTGTAGTGTGTTTTACTGCTTTATTCTTGGGTCAGTGCTATTTTAATTATTGACATTAACAAAGGAATTCTGTTGATGCAGTGTTTATAAAACCTTTAGACCTCTCTGACTTTACATATTTTCAATAGGATGGATAGAGATTTATGTTAGAAGTATAATATTATTTTAAAATTTAGCTTTTTCTATAGTGTGAATGAAATTCTCTTTCCCCTTTTTATTTAGGTTATTTTTTTTTTAATGTATGTATGGTCAATACCAATTCATAAAAGGGAGCTCTGATGGCTTAATGATAAGGAATTGTGCTGCCATCCCAAACGTACATGGTTCTAATCCACCAGCTGCTGTGGGAGAAAGTTGGACAGTCTCTTCCCATGAAATTTACTGCTTTTGTGAACGCACTGGAGGGGTCATCTATGGGTCTTTTCCGACTCTATGCTACCTAACAATTCATAAAGTCTTAATAAATATCTTCTAATACATTCAGGAATATTTATTTTGACATACTTGTCTTTAGAAGGTCACAGAATTACTGTTTTCTTATTTTATAGGAAGCAGTAGAAAAATATGAAGAAGTGCTTCATAACTTGGAATTTGCCAAGGAGCTTCAGAAAACCTTTTCTGGACTGAGTCAAGAAGTAAGTATGTTTTCTTGTCATTTTTCAGAACCAGTTAGCCACCAATATTGAAGAAAATGTGTTTTATTTGGTTCTTGTTACTATGAATAATTTATTGGAGGTGGAGGAGTTGAAAACAGCTCCTATAGAACTAATTTTTAGTCTTTAGGTTTTTTAATTTTTAGAATTAGAAGAGGATGCAAGATATCCCTGACTATGAAACATTGTGAATAAACTACTGGTTTCTCATGTGTGCTATTTCACTATAGAACTCTAGAAAATCATTGAAGTGAAGAATTATTAAAACTCTTCTGATTGATCTGATTATTAAAAGTATTTTAGAATATATAGACATGTTATTTTCTATTACATATTACTTATTTAGTTATATAGGCTTATCTGAATATGTAATACAGGTTTTTAAATATAATATTCTTTAACATCAGAAAACAGTAGCTAGACTCTTCTTGAGGACATGATGATTTATTATGAGGAAAAATTATAATTCATTTTAAATGGAGAGGGTCAAGTCTGATCTCACTACTTAGTGGGCTCACAGTGCTGTAAATGCATACTTTACCTCTGACAAATTTAATCCAGTAATTAATAAGAGATATTTAGCATTTGTTAACGAAGTGTGTGTCATTGTTTCAGGATCTTAGTAATAGAAGGCCCAGTAAAGGTCATGATCTAATAATTAACAACAAATGTTTTATGAAGATTCAAGAAGACAGTTCTTGAATATTTTCCTTTCTTAACTGTAAACTAAAGTTCTCTATTTCCCTGATATAAGGAAAAATTATCTGAGGATTTTTATTTTAATCCTGACATTATTTTAATCCTTGTCATACATTGTTCTCCTCTGGCTGATGAATGCTGTGAAGATAGGAAATAATGTAGTGTAGACCCACTACTGTTTATTTTCGGATTACTTTCTGTTATTGCAGTTTTAAGATGATACTCTTTTTTTTTATCACCAATAACGTATTTTGACTTGCTCATTTATTCATCACTTAACTTTAGTACTTTTTGTTAATTCCTTATTTTTCAAATATTTCTAAGCTATTTCAAATGCAATGCTTTTAAATCAGTTTTGCCTCATGCCTGTATGTTTCCTCTAAAAAAAAATTAGTTGAAATTTCCTTTTCTCCATGTTTTTATGGTTGTATAATTGGCAGTATACATTTTTGTTGTTAAGCACTGTCGAGTTGACTATGATCATAATGACCTTGTGAACAACAGATCAAAACCTTGGCATATTCTGCCCCAACCTACAATATTTGCACTATTCAAGCCCATTTTTGCAGGCGGTGTATCCATCTCCTTCACTGAAAGAGATGTGTCCTCCTCTATTTCACTGACCATTTACTAACGTTTTCAGCATGATGTCTTTTTTCCCAAGGACTGATGTCTCTTAACACTATGACCAGAGTACGTGAGATGAAGTTTCACCATCCTTTCCTCTAAGAAGCAGCACCCTGGTTACACTCCTACCAAGAAGTGTTTGCTTATTGTTTTGGCAGTTCGTGGCATAGCCAGTATTTATTCCCACCACTGCATTTCAAAAGCATCAATTCATTATATATTATCTAAGTTTTAGATACATACGAAACAATTAAAAATATTGTGTCTTGGTCAGACGCACCATTGTCTTTAAGTTGACATCTTTGCATTTAAAGAGGTCCTTGACAGCATTTCCTCAGTTTAACGTGTCTTTCTTTTCAAAGCCATCTTCAGATTTTAGTTTTCCATTCGGATGTTTATTTTCTTAATATGTGTTACCTTTTTTCCTTGTATTTCGTTTAATAAATACTATGTGTCAGGCACATATATAATCACATTTGATTTTTATATTAACCTAGGAATTAATTATAGATCAAAGACGAAGTCATTGCCATGGAGTCAGAATTGACTCATAGCTGACCTTCCAGTGGATTTTCCAAGGCTGTAAATCACATAGGAGCAGACTGCCTATCCTCCTGTGGAGTCATTGGTGGATATAAACTGGTGGAGAGACACCACCTTTGGGTTAGCAGTAGGCAATTCCCTGTGAACTACCAAAGCCCCTAGTTACAAATGCATTTCTTCATTTATTAACTGTTATTATCCAACATTTTATGTTTATGCCAATTGTAAAAAACCTACTTTCTGACTTCTTTGGATTAACAAGATACACCTCGCGTTGCTGAATACCACATGTCACGAGTGATGCTGACTGTGATGATTAAGGTTATGTGTCAGTTTGCCTGGGCCATAATTCTGGGTGGTTTGCAGTTACATAATGATATAAGGTGGCAGTTATATAATGATGTAGTCATTCTTCCTTTTGTAATATAATATGGTCATCTTCCATTTTATATACAAGGTTGATTTTTTGCATAATAACTTGGAACCTAATTATGTAAGTGAGGAGTAGTTGTAGCCTCATTTTATAGAAAAGAAAAAAAAAGATCTTAAGGACTAGAGCAAAAGAAATTTACCCAGGATTTTATGACCAATGTAATATGGATTGAAGTTTAATATTAAGTAAATGAAGATTCTCATCACTGGAGCAGTTGACAGCACTGTAATAGAGACAGAGAAGAGATTGAGATTGTTAACAATTTCAGCTTGCTCGGTTCCGAGATCAATGCTCTTGACACCAGCAGGCAGGAAATGAAGACATTGAATTAGGAAAATCTGCTGGTAGGGACCTCTCCAGAGTGCTGAAGAGCATAATGTCAGTCTAGAGACTAAGGTGTGTCTGATCCAAGCCATGGTTTTTGAAATTACTTGCAATGAATCAGAGAGCTGGATAATGACTAAGGATGACAGAAAAATTGATGCCTTTGAGTTATGGTGTTGGAGAATAGTATTGAACATACCATGGACTTCCAGGAGAACTAATAGACCTGACTGGAAGAGGGTGAAACCCAGCTGCCACTTGGAGGCAAATATTTTCAGACTCTCACATACTTTGGGTATGTAGCCAAGAGGAACCAGTCTTTGGAGAAGGATATCTTGCTTAGAAGGGTGGAGGGACAGCTCAGAGAGGAAGGTCTGGGATGAGATGATTTGACACAATAACTGGGGTAAAGAGGGTAGGTGTGTCAGAGACAGGTTTGCTCAGGATAAAGCAGGGTTCAGCGCTATTGTGTGTAGGGTTGCTATGAGTTGTTGTTGCCTTGATAGCACATAACAAGTAGTAGAACTATGACCCAGTACATTTTTGCCTCTAAAAACATTTCTGTTTTCTTCCACTGTTATAGTCTAAAGATAAAAACCAAGCTTCCAAATTATATTGATATTGTGAAATTATTTTTGTTTGTACTAATTTAGTTTTACTTTAGTGAGGTATTTAAGTACTGTGGAGCTTACCTTAATCAAGACCCCAAAGGTGCTTGGTGATCAGCCTTCTCAGTTGTGTGTTTGGTTTTTTTTTTTTTAATCCTAGTAATATATAGGCTCTTTTCTACTAAATTTTTCTTTGGTTAGACTTTTGTGATAACTTTTCGCAGATTGTGGAATATTTTCTTCAAACTAAATTTGGAAGCTTTTCTGTTTTGGCACATTCTTTTTCATGATATGCTCTGTCCTCTGCTGGGGATTCAGCTGTTTTTGGAACAGAGCAAGGGGTCACTGCATGGTTTAAAATGAAGAGAGGTGTGCGTCAGTCTTTATTCTTATTTGATCTGTATGCTAAGCAAATAATTTGAGAAATTGGACTTAATGAAGGAGGAATGCAGTACCAGAATTAGTGGAAGACTTATCACCAACCTGTGTTAAGCAGATGACACAGTCTTGCTTGCTGAAAGTGAGGACTTGAAACGCTGGCTGTAGAAGAACAAAAACTGTAGCCTTTGGTATAGATTACATCTCACCATCAACAAGACAGCAATTTTCACACTGGGCTTATAGGCAGCATCATGATAGATGGAGAAAATATTGAAATTGTTAACAGTTTTAACTTACTTGCATCCACAATCAACACCCTTGGTACTGGCAGTCAAGAAATCAGAAGACGTTGCAGTGGGAAAGAAAGTCTGCTGTCAGGCACTTCTCTAAAGTACTGATGAGCAGTAACGTCAGTTTGAAGACTTAAGGTGTGCGTGGTTCACGCTATGCTCTATAATCACTTGTTACTCATCTGAGAGCTGGACACTGAATAAGGATGACAGAGAATAGTTGATCCAGAAGAGTACTGAATATCCCATGGACTACTAAATGAACAAACAGCTATGTCTTGGGAAAAGTGCAGATAGAATGCTTTTGGAAGCAAGGATGGCAAACCTTTCTCTCACATGCTTTGGGCATGTTGTTAGGAGGGGTTGTTCCTTGGAAAGGGACACCATGCCTGAAAAGGTGGAGGGTTCATGAAAGAGAGAAAGACCTTAAGAAAGACCCTTAAGATAGATTGACAAAGTGACTGCAGCAATGGACTGTAATGTGTCAGAGATGGTGGGTATGACACAGGATAGGACAGAGTTCAGATATGTTGTTGTTCATTAGGTCATAACAAATAATATTCAACTTGATGGCACCTAACAACAAGTAGTTATGGTTTAGGAAAGGATTCTTGCTATTCAGTTCCTTGATAACAGTGGTTTATTTCATATGTTCCCCTTTCATAATTGGTCCTCAAGTTTGTTGTTGGTTTTCATAGTTTCCACATGAAGAGAAATGAGCTGTTGTAAGTGGCTTTTTATAGCATTTGGTCTTTCTCTAATAGACTGCATACTAATTGACTCATTCAACAAATAATTGAGGATTCCTATCATATGTCACAGATGTAGTCAGTATGATTCCTGTGTAGATCATCAGGTGAAGTCCATAGCTGCCATTTGTGTTTCTTATAAAAATATTTGCAATGAATAAATCATTGATGGTACAAAATTGTATTGTTCTTTCTGTCACCAAGTCCATGTTTTCCAACTACTGATCCTCTTTCTGTTCCCAATGTTTGCATTCCAGTCCCTCATTATTATTACTGCATTTTGGATTCATTTTTTATCTGTTTCCAACTGCAAAAGTTGGTAGAAATCTTCTATTTTCCTCCTCTTTGACTCTGATTTTTGGTGCATATATTGGAATGGTAATGGTATTTATTCTCATTCTGAAAAAGAGGTGATCCAACAGAATGACTATTTTTGGACAGTATCGCTGATAACACATACGAGCAAAATCTTGGTGAAGATTATCCATCCAGAACAACTGGAATAACACATTGACAGAAAACTACCAGAAATACAAATAGGGTTTAGAAGAGGCCGTGGCATTAGGGACATCATAACCAATGTCAGGTGGTTCTTGGCTGAAAGCAGAGAGTAGCAGAGGAATATCTATGTTTCATTGACTATGCAAAGGCATTTGACTGTGTGAATTACAACAAACTGGCTAACTCTGGGAAGAATGGGGATCCCACAACACTTGATTGTGCTTATGTGAAACCTATACTTGGACCAGGAGGCAGTCACCAGAACAGAGTAAGGGAAAACTACATAGTTCAAAATCAGGGATGCATCCTGCCTCCATACCTTTTCAATCTATATGCAGAACAGATCATCTGGGAGGTTGGGCTCTATGAGGAGGAATGTGGTGTAAGAATTGGAGGAAGACTCATCAACAGTCTACATTATGCAGATGACACAACCCTGCTTGCAGAAACTGAGGAGGACATGAGGCATTTGTTGTAGAAGATCAAGGACTACAGCCTTCAATATGGATTTGAAGCTGAACATAAAAAAAACAAAGATTCTCACTATTGGGCCAATTGGCAGCTTCATGACCAATGGAGAAAAGATTGAGATTGTTAACAACTTGAGCTTGCTTGGTTCCATAGTCAATACTGTTGGCACCAGCAGTCAGGAAACCAAAAGACAAATTACATTGGAAAAGTCTGCTGTCACAGACCTCTCTAGAGTACTGAAGAGCAGCATTGTCAGTCTGGAGACTAAGGTGCACCTGATCCAGACCAAGGTCTTAGCAGTTACTTGCTATGCATCAGAGAGCTGGATTATAGATGACAGAACAAAAATCGATGCCTTTGAGTTGTGCTGGAGAAGAGTATTCAATATACCATGGATTGTCAAGAGAACAAACAGTTCTATTCTGGAAAGGGTGACACCAGTTGCTTTTTGAAGGCAAGGATTTTAAAGCTCTGGCTCACATCCTTTGGGCCTGTTGCCTGAAAGGAGGGACCCGTCCTTGGAAAAGGACACCATGCTTGGAAGGGTGGAGGAACAGCTCAGGAGAGGAAGACACTGGATGAGATGGATTGACATAGTTACTGGAGTAATGGAAGTAAATGTGTCAGAGAAAGCTTGGCTCAGGATAGAGCAGGGTTCTTAGCTATTGTGCATGTGGTTGCTGTGAGTCACAAGGAACTCAGTGGCACATAACAAAAACAACAACCACAGTCATGTCAAGTTCTGTGCTGGACATTATTATTAATATGTTTGTGAACATCAAAGATACGGTCTCTGTCATCATCAAACTGCAATCTAAGGACAGTTCAGATAAATAAAAATTAACAATGTGATAACCTTTGTTTGAGGAAGTTCAGGATAACATGAGTCCAGAAGAACATCTTTATAGGGAAGTTGGTTAATCTGAGATCTGAGGTAATCATATAGCTACAGTACCCCGCATTTTAAATTGCCTTTCTCTTTACCATTGTAAAACTGTGTCAGTTGAATGAATCCCACTGTCCTGGACTTGAGTGTCTAGAAGTGCCATTTTCATCTTCCTCCTCCTCCCCAAGTAGAAATCAAGAATTATAACTGTGTTAGGTATTGCTGATAAAGGGTCATATTGAAATTTCATTTCATTTTTTTTAAAGCTGTAAATGTTATTTAATTAGATCATTTGCAAGAAATCTAGAATACCGGTTTGTGAGGATAAAATCCTCTGGTGAGGGAGAATAAAGAATATAGGTAGCTTTCAGTCTGATAAACTGCTCTGAGTTTTGGCAAAATCTGGGAGTCTACAGCTTTCTGATGAACCTTGCACAGCTCTCTAAGCTCGTATCTCTCTTCTGTATCAAAGATCTCGCTCTCCTGGTGTCTGATCTTTGGTAGCTGCTTCTTGAAGTAAGCAACAGTGAGATGTTTGGGGATTTTCACACCACTGATTTCACCTGTAGTGGTGATGGCAATGACAGATTTCTGGTGCGTTCTCTGCCGAGGAACTCAAGTGAGGGTCAGAGGCTTGGTCACAAGAATCAAACTACTATCCAGTTGCTTCAGGAAAAACATTCTTCTGCCTCTGGAAGTCTTGTGAGGATTATCCGAATGGTCTCTGGTGATCCTAGAGTGCAGCTTCCACTCTGAGGGTTTTTTTGCTGTGCCTCTGGTGGCCTTGTGATAAGAAGCTGTGCTGCAATCCCAAAGGCATGTGATTCAAATCAGCCAGCTGCTCAATGGGAGAAAGATGGGCAGTCTCCTTCTGTGTGAACAACTGCCTCTGAAAACCTGCCAGAGGGTCAGCTGGGGGTAGATTCCAGCACAGCAGTACACCGCCACTGTTTCCGAGGCACGTCTTGAGTGGGGTATTACCTAGGCATTTTGTGAAGTTTGACCACTTGGGTACCACCATTCGTATAGTCACCCATTGGTTTTGTGACTGTAACAAGAGAAGTCTCCTTTTCAATGCTCGATTTAGTGTCTGAATCCTTCCTCTTGTACATGGCCTTCTTCGAATACATGGCCGATCGGGAATACTTGCTGTTTCCGTGGACTGGAGCAGGATTGTGGCTACAGTGGAACTTCCCTTCTTAGGCAATTTTGGCATTCCCCTTGGCCTTTCTAATTTTGCCTCTGGCTTCTGCCTTCTTGACTTTGAGCTTGTCCTCAGGCTTCTTCTCCTTGGTGTCAAGCTTTCCCCCTGCCATCTTGCAAGATGGAAAAAAAAAGCCATGTTGAAGTTTTGAAGCCATATTTGACGCTTTAGAAATCTCTGCTGCCTAAGAAAATATGATTGACTGTGGAACTCTCAAAAATTATTTTAAAAATGTATTGAAAAATTTTTATCTTATTGTCTCTTGTCTTTAGTAGTGAACAATTCAAAATTAAATTGCTTCTGGGGAGTTCTGGGACCTATTGGTAAGAAGCTGCACTGCAATTCCAAAGACATGTGGTTCAAATCCACAACCTGCTCTATGGAAGAAAGATGAGCATTTTCCTCCCGTGTGATTTACTGCTTCTGAAAACCAGCTGGAGGATTGGCTATATGTTCCAACATGACACCTAACAACAGCATAACACAGCACCACAAGCACACCACCACAACAAAAACAATGCACTCTTTTAGAAAAGATCCATAATGCCACTGTCTTTTTCTTGAAGATTGTTCCCCAGTCCTGATCTGTTAAGATTTATGTACATTTCTAGAATGTAAAAAGTACTAATGCTATATCTGTAGGAAAGATAGTTTGTAAAGATGATTGTCTTAATCTTCATGTTTTGAAAGTATCCAGTGTAATGGAAACACTGCAGTGAAAAAAAGCAATTTTTAGGGGAAAAGGACTTTGGATTTCTTAGTGGAAACAGATGGCATTATTGGTGCTGTCATGGTTCTGAGCTTTCTTCCAGACTTTCACCTGCTCAGTCCACAAACAAATACATTTGAGTATTACCTTAAATTTTAACTTTTGTATATGTCGAACAATATTGCTCTGTCCACACTCTGGGGAAACTATTTTTAAAAATAGATCAGCTTTCTTTCAGGAACATTCTTTTTTTTTTTTTTTTACTTCCCCCCCCCCCAGGAACATTCTTATGACTACTTTTGACTGACAACATTTGTAAGACATTTTATGTCTATATTTGGGTTTCTATTCCTTCACTCATCTAACCACTGACCATTTTAATTTAAACATTCCTCTTGTGGACATGGGATTAAAAGCCTAACAACTTTAAAGCATTCTGTTGAAATGTTGGCCTATAAAAGCTTATGTGCATAACTATGGAAAAAATTTTTATTAGAGTTAAGATAGACATCAGGAATATCATTTTCATCATGATGGTGTTAGAGGTTCTAGAAATAACCTGGAGCTAAAAGTCAGGTTTCTTGTTCCTTGGAAAAGCTCGTTACTACCACCTTTAGCTGTAAAAGGAGGTAGAGCTTAAACCTGTTCATTTGACAACTCAGTATTCTGTTCCTGAGATTTATCATCTAATCTCAGCAATTTGGAGCTAAGTTTTGTAAAACATGGAATAATTGATAGTATAGGGTGATGGGAGAGAGCTTGTCAGCCCTAATGAGCATGTATTTTAACAGCTGCTTAAAGCTCAGAAGAAAGCCCAGAGAAGGGAGCAGATGCTAAAACTTGAGGCTGAGAAGAAAAAACTTCGAACAATACTTCAAGTTCAGTATGTATTACAGAACTTGGCACAGGAACATGTGCAGAAGGACTTGACAGGGGGATTGAATGGTGCAGTGTATTTGCCTTCAAAAGAACTTGACTACCTCATTAAATTTTCAAAACTGACCTGCCCTGAAAGAAATGAAAATGTGAGGTAAGCTAAGGGGGGAAAGAAGGTTCTGAAATAGAACACAACACTTAAGTTTAACTTTTGTGTTACGTATTTGTGATTAATAAAAGATTAATTTGATTCAGCATAGGAAACTTTGGCTGGCTCAGACTATGACAGGATTGACAAGCACTGTGGAAAGAAAGTGAATTTGAGTCAACTCATTATGTACTGCTTTATTATGACAGTGTTTAATGTCTACTCATCAAGTTTTAATATCATTCATGTGTTAACAATTATGCTGATTTTGTGTATACCTAAAACTCATTTTAATAAACATCTCAGGCTGTTGGTTTTAACTGAGAATCTTTGCCTTCTTAATGCTGCTTACTTAAGTAGTTAACTCTTGTTGTTAAATGCAACTGAGCTGACTACAACTCAGTAGTAACTATATGAACAACAGAGCTAAATCTTGCCCTATCCTGTACCATCTTCATTATCTGATATACTTGAGCCCATTGTTAGAATCAATCACTGTGCCAGTCCATCTACTCTGCCTCTCCTTTCTCAAACCTGTCATAGTCTGAGTCAGCCCAAAGTAGGTGACATAAATAGTTTAATTTGGCCATAAATAGTTTAATTTGGCCAGTATCATTAAACTTTCAAAGTGATAAAGGGACTGATTACAAAAAGGGCAGAAGAGAGCTTTTTGAGATGTTCTTATTATGCTGTAAATAAAGACTGAGAAGTAAAACTAATCATTCAAAATATAACATAATCAAATCAACATTCTTGAATAAATATTTTTCCCTTTTTTAGGTATCCATTTGCTTTTTTAAAAATTTGATTTATCAGATGATGAGTAGATCTGTGCTCTTGCTTTGTTACATCAGGGATGTTACACCTTGGTGTCTAAGCCATGATAAAGCAGAGTCAGGTTTTAACTGTTAATAAAAATTGACTCTGCAGCTGGAAGAAACCTAATTAAACGTAGTTACCTATCTATATCCATATATCGTTTTATTTTCATTTTTATAGACCACTAAGTCATTATTACCTGGTACTTCTTCAGTTTGGTAGGTTCTGGCAATGTAGCTTATTTTAATAATTGATAAGTAAGCAAAAGGTAATTTGAAAAGTAAGCTGTTCTCTTTAAATTTAAATGCAACTCTTAAAATTGCCATTAGCTTCCTCTTTCACCTCTGACATTCTTACTCACAATGTTGCACAGGCAGACTCTCTTTGGCCTATTCTTTAATAGCTGCCTTTAGTAAAATCTTTGATTAAAAAAAAAGCCTGTATTTTAAATTCACGAATGTTGAACCAGTAAAATCACATTTTATAAATGTCAATATTTTCCAACTAAATATCTAGAAAAAATTAACCTTTAGGTATCTTGACTGTCAGTGGGTTTATAATTTAGTTTAAACTGTCCTACTCCATAGATATATGTATATATACTGATAGACACATATAAGTACTTCTAAAGCCACTTTGTTCTGCTGCTGCTTTTCCTTGTCAGCGTTGAAGACCAGATGGAGCAGTCATCCTTGTACTTTTGGGACCTTTTGGAAGGTAGTGAGAAAGCAGTGGTAGGAACGACATGTGAGTTTTCTCTATTCTGGACTTATGCAGTAATATACTAAACTTTATGTCTGAAAGTTTAGTATGAGATTGAGGGCCTAAACTGTGTCAGTCCATCAAAACTTACATGCCTAACAGTACTGTTTTCATCTGGAGAATAATCCCTTTGCTTAGTCCTGGTAACAGCAGCTATTGGATAATTGTACTCACTAAAATGAAATTTAGGGAGAATTTTGAAGTGGCAAGTCAATATGATTTGGGAATAAGTTGTGAGAATTAATGCTGGCCTCAACATTAGTTTGGCCACTTTGTGGTTCATTTCTCTCTTTTCTTTAGTAGAAATAGCACCTGTTCTACTAAAATCCTAAAAGCTGCATATGAATGGTTTTGATGTCACAGTCTGTTAAAACATTGTTGAGAGCCCATTTGGCTTCCTCATTAGCTTATGAGAAAGTAACCAGGTATAAATGTTAAACGTGTCGTACATAGTTTATATACTAGCTTAAGATAATGAAAACTTACTAGGTGCTAGTAAATCTTTTGTCACTTATGATTGCCTGCCTTTAAAAAAATATTTAAATATACATGATTACTTGAATGTTTCTCAATTCATCCAAGTTTAATTGGCAATAAAAAATGAATTTGTTCATTAGAGTTCTAAATGATACTAAAACTTCGGAAAATATTTTTTAATTTCTTATAAAATTAAGCATATACTTATTTAATTAATAAACTATACTCTTAGTATGTAAGAGAGATGAAAACATATTCACACCAATACTTGTATAATGTTTGTGACTGTTCATAATCAGCATTATTTAAAATAATTAAACTGAGAACAAGTCAGATGTTTATCAGCTAGTAGATTGTTAAAATAGGATGTATCTGTTCAATGAAAAACTCAACTCGTTGTTGAGTCATAATTGACTTAGAGCTGACTCTCTGTTGGATTTCTGAGGCTGTTAAGTTACAGGGAGATAGTTCATCATTCTCCCTCAAAGCCATTGGTGTATTTAAACCACCAGAGGTGCACAGCCTTTGGGTTAGAAGTGTAACTCACTGTGGACTTCCCACCAGAGCTCCCCAGTGGAATGATACTCTAATAAAAAAGGAATGTGCTTTTGATACATTTAACAACATGAATGAACGAACATGAATGAATCTCAAAATAATTATGCTGAGTAAAAGAAACCAAATTTTTAAAAAAGTACACATTATTTAATATTCTAAATAAGACAGAATGCTAGCAGGTTAGTGTTTGTCAAACAGTGGGAGAAGTGAACTGACTGTACAAAGAACATGAGGGAGCTTTGTGAGATGTGGGAGATATGTTATACTTCTGGTGGTATTAACATGACTACATATTTGTTAAAATTTTATACACTTAAAATGGGTGAATTTATTTGCTATACCTAAATGATTATTGGGAGAACAAAAAAATAATATAATGAACTTCAAATTGAATAATTTTCATGATACTAATATAGACTACAACTTGTCCCCAGTGAATAAACTTGTCAGACATGGTAGCTGTGAACCGACCCCAGCAAGCCTTTTAAGTAAAAAAATTAGAGGTACATTTCAGTGAATGGATTCATTACAACAAACAGATGCTACTCATATCAAAACATCACTATTTCTTTTTTATGTGGAGATATTTTAGTGTATCTAGATATGTTTGGTATTTTTTATGCATAGAAAGGTATACTATATATTAAGACAAACATTTGACTGACTTTAGATACTGACTATACCTAATTGTTCCAAATTACATACCAATTAGATTTGAATATGATTTACAAACATAACTTGTTTGTAATCTTGGAATAATCTATATAGTAATGATAATCTGTGATAGATTTCAATTAGGATTTTTATTACAATTTTTTGAAGAGAATTATGTGATAACTCAATCACTCTTTCTTAGACAAACATGTGAAAGACCTGTTGTCTGAACTCCTAAACTCAGGATATTTTGAAAGTATCCCAGTTCCCCAAAATGCAAAGGAAAAAGAAGCACCTGTTGAGGAAGAAATACTGACAAAATCAGACGAGAACAAACAATTATTGAAAACAGAATCTGTCAAAGACTCAGGTTTGTTACAATCTTTGAAATTCTCTAGAGTGGTTGGAATTTTAACACCAAAAGAAGTCAAATTATTGTGAAAATTTCTTACTTTGATTGTATTTTAACTAGATTATTTACTTATATAGTTAGATTCTACGTGAATGGAAATCTTCGCTAGATGCTGGAAACACTTGTGGTGGTGGTGTACCATCAAGTCGGAACCGATATATAACTGACCCTCCAGTTGGTTTTCAGAGTCATTAATCTTAGGGGAGGAGATTGCCCATCCTTCTCCCGTGGAGCAGCTGGCGGATTCAAACCATGTGCCTTTAAGATTGCAGTGCAGTTTCTTATCAGTAGGCCACCAGAGCTCCCTCCTGGAATCTCTAGTTTTAGAAAACATCTCTAGACTTTATTAAGATGATTTGTAGATAGAACCATTATAGAAACTTTAACTTATACTTACCCCAAGAGAGTATACTGATAAAAAGGACTTTGTGAAATTTGAATGAACTTTGGCAAGGATTCAGTACTATAGTAGAACACAAATGTAGATAACCTAATATTAAGAAACTGAATTAGGGGGGGAAAAAGTCAGAATGAGTAAAGGAAAGAAACTTTTCAAATGGTCATTTTCTTGAGGGAGAAACATTATGAGCAACAGCAACAAAAACATACATATGCATTTATTTCTTAGGTTGGATTTACTTGAGAAATATCTAAGGAAGGGAGTCCAGGCAGGACTCTGGTTGCCACTAAGAAGAGTCACGTAATTTGCTGTGTTCTTCTCCTTTTGGTTCTTAACACCAAGGCCAGAGTTTGAGTGCTGTCCTCTTGTCCCTCATACTTGAAAATGGCATGTGAGAGGCTTTTAAGAGCTTTATTGTGAGTGACTGATTTTCAGTCTGTGGGAAAATGACATAGAACTACATAGAAAGCTGTAGAAATAAGCTTATAGATTTATTTATTTGTATTTGTAGATAAGAGCAAGTAGTCTTATTTTTTTGATCAGAACTAAAGTTTTCACTGGTATTTGACTTTAGCAAAGTGGTCAGAGATACACCTAAGATGTAAATACTTGTACTATCCTTTAATTCTTATTATCACTTTGAGCCTTCTGAAATAATACTGATGGAATGAGTTACTCTAAAAGCCTATTCTTTACAGAGTATTTATTGAGTGTTCCTTTTATTTTTTCAGAGTCTCTTGTGGAACTTGCACAGCCAGAGATACAGCCACAAGAAGTAAGAAACTGAAACGTAATTGATGCTTGTTTTTAAGACATGTTACAGTGTCATGGTTAAAGCCCAGATTGGAACTAGAGTGCCTTCACTTTAACCCAAGTTCTATAGCTTGCTAGTTTAAAGACCTATATACAATATATCTAGCTTAGCTTTGTCTGTTACTCTCATCTATAAAGTGGGAATAATAATACTCACTTCATGGTATTATTTTAAGGATTATATCAGTTAGTGTAAACTCTAAATTAGATGAAATTTGGCTTGACACACAATTAAGTGCTAAAGTGTTGGCTGTTCTGTTTGCTGTTGTTATTATTGGCCCTTGTGTTAGAATTTAAAGATAGACAGGATTTTGCTCTTTTGAATTTACTCACATTGGGAGGAGAAGAGGATTCTTAATACATAGGAGAAATAATGAAAAGAGTGGTAATCAAGAAAATATTAGATTTAAATTTAAGCAATATAACTGTATAGTTGAACTATTCTCTACCCTAAATTTTAAAGGAATCAAATGGGTGGAATGATCCTAAATCTGATACAGGCTCAGTAGCCTTGGTAAATGCAGTGAACTCTGGCACCGTGACGTGCACTTTTGTCAATGTTAAGTGAGTCAAATACAGCTTTCTACTTTTGAAATATAAAAGCTTTACATTTTCTTAAGGAAGTAAAGGATAGGCAGAGAAGTAATGCAGTCTCTTTTTTTAATTAAGCTAAGAAGAAGAATTTAATATTATAATATTTTTAAAAAATTGATACATAATGCTTAAAAAATCAAATATTCCCCTCAAATTCTGTTAATTTTATGACTCAAGCAAACTGTTTATCTGGTCTAGTTTCTTAACAGGCGCTACTTGACAGAAGTAGATTATCCAAACAGACAGGATGAAGAGAAATCCTGGGAAGATGATTATGCTAGAAAACCAAATCTTCTCAAAAGTTGGGATATGCTTACAGAGCCAGATAATCAGGAAAAGAAACATGAATCCTTCAAGTCCTGGGAGTCTCCTGTTAAGCAACAGGAGTCACCAAAGCCAACAAAACTGGAGGAACGGAGGAAACAAGAGATTTCAAAGCTCAGGGCTCCTTTGCAAGAAGGGCAGAAGAAGCAGGAGACATCCAAGTCCAAGTCAACTCCTGTCCAATGGAAACAAGAAACTTCCAAGTCAAAAGTAGAATACATTCAAGAGGAGCAGAAGAAGCAGGAGACACCAAAGCCTTGGCCAGTTCAGCTGCAAAAAGAGGATCCAAAGAAACAAACTCCAAAATCTTGGGCATCTTCTCTGCAGAGTGAACAGACCATCACCAAATCATGGAGCACTCCTGTGTGTGAAAAACAGGACTCAAGACAATCAGAGATGCTCAAATCTTGGGAAAACAGTGTTGAGAATAAAAAACACCCTTTAACACTTCAATCACAGATCTCTCCAAAGTCCTGGGGAGTAGCCACAGCAAACCTCATTCCAAATGATCAGCTCTTGCCCAGGAAGTTTAATACAGAATCCAAAGATGTGAGTTGATCTATATTAGTCTGATTCTACCAATATAGGCATCAATAAAGAGCTGTAGTGGTGGTATCTTTTTAGTTCTCTTTAAAGAAAGAAGTTAGTAAAATCCATGTTAAATTAATGTATAATGTATTTCACTTAATTCTTTAAAGGGTACATTTATTGACATGATATGACATTTAAATAGTGGATAGTTGAGGTAAGACCATAATGTGAAACAAGTGGGTAATTGAAGTGCACATCACAGAGGGAGAGACTTGAACTTTACTGTTTATCTTCCATCTGACATCTGGATGGATGAAAGTTATTTAACTTATTTGTAGTCACTCAGTATGTACTCTTATGAAGAAGAAATAGTGTATGTTGATATTCCTGTAGTTGAGAGAAGGTTCTGAATTATTTCCAATTCAGAAAGAATTTTCTGGATATAGGAAACCATAGGCATTAAATACACTATTACTAGATTTTGGAAATAAGATTTAGTTAAAATTTAAGGCTTTATACTGCTCATGTTACAGAATCTGTTTCAGGAAGGGGAAGCTTATAATGAATAATCCGTAAACATCATGCTATGTTAATGTTGCCTTTTATTAAATTATATACTTACATATTTACTATGTAATTACTTATATACTACTATTTGTAATGAAGAATTGTCCTGGTCTTTAATGACCTCCATCTCTGCATAGTATACTTCCATGCCATTTTAGCCAAAGGCCTTTTTTTTTTACAGTCTTTTTACCCTTTTACAGTGTGAAATATTTTGTTCACTGTATTTTGCAGGTGAATAAATTGCCCTGAACTACCTTTTATCTTAGGATAAGAGAATTGTTAGAGTTCTCTTATTTTCCTCTCTTTTCAAGTGTTAATCTCAATTTTAGCTTTTTAATCATGTAGAAGCTTGATAGCTTTATTTCATTAACAAGATAACATACAACAGTTATTGTAATATCACAAAAAGACTAAAATGGAATTGGTCACTAAAACTCATACTTTGAGTTTTGACTCTCAAGGAGTCTTTTAACTCTTGTTAACTTTTTTTTTTTAAATAAAATTGTATTTTTTTTTTTTTACTTTATTTTACGTACAAAGTTTGCATACGTTGTTTTTCATACTGGATCATTCCCATTTCTTTCATCCACCCCTCCCTCCACCCATCAAATTGTGTGACCCTATGACTAACAACCCCCTACCCCCACTCATCATTACCTCTCTGCACCTACCTAACTCTTATTACTTTTAACAAGTGTAGCCACACCGGCTTCCCTTTGAATAGGAAGATGAGGAAGAGCTGGTAAAGACAGGCAAGTTGACAAGCTATAGAATTACCTGTAATGTTAAATCTAATTTAGGCTATATAGCAGTCTTAAGCAGTTTAGGATAAGAGCTACAAAATGAAACACATTGCTATCAAATAAACTGCAGCTTATGGTAACCTAAAGGATATCCCTATAGGGTAGAACTATTCCATAGAGTTTCCAAGGAATCAGTCCTCTACATTTTCTTTACAGAAGCAGATGCCACATCTTTTCCCAGAGCATCTGCTGCTGTTATGTGCTGTTGAGTCAAAACAAACTCATAGCTGACCCTCCAAGGGGTTTTCAGAGGCACTAAATCACATGGGAAGTGATTGCCCATCTTTCTCCAAAAGCAGCTTGTGGATTTGAACTTCTGACTTTTGGATTGGTTGGCAGTGTTGCTCCTTACCATTAGTCCCCCAGAGCTTAACAAGGGCACTTAAGTGCAACAGCAAGTGGATTCAAACTGCCATCCTTTCAGGTAGAAGCTTTTTAACCATAGTACCACCAAAACGCCTGGTTTGATGGCCAGCCTTACTATAAATATCAGTAGTTCCAATGAGTAAATTTTATAGTAAAATATAGCAATTTTTAAAAAAATTCCATGTTACACATTAAACAGCTTAATCCTTCTAAAGTCAGATTTTTTAAATTAATATATATTTAATGGAGTAGTTTTTCTTTTGAGGAGAAATAATCTACAGCTAGTGACATCTTATAGAATAAATACAGTTAATTGTTCTGTATAAAAGCACTCTTATTGAAGGAAGGTCTTGTATCTTGGGTTTTTTTATTTAAAAAGACAATGCTTTTATATTTTAGAAGTATCTGCTGAATTGCCTTGAAAAGGGGGAGAATTATTAAAAGTTTATTTAGAAAATGTGTTTATGTAGAAATTTCTTTACTTGAGATAAATCTGTACTAAATGAGTATTGCTATATGTTTTACTTTTCTTAAGAAGTGATAATCCGAGTATGGAATTGACAGGGATGGGCTTCGTTGTTAATAAGCTAAGTTTCCTGTTTTAGAGCATTACGTTTGAATTTCATTATTAAATATTACATGTTTATTTTCTAGGTGCCTAAACCTATGCATCAGCCTGTAGCTTCTTCCTCTTCTCTTCCAAAGGATCCAGTACTGAGGAAAGAAAAACTGCAGGATCTGATGACGCAGATTCAAGGAACTTGTAATTTTATGCAAGTATGAGCCATTTTTTTAAGCTTTATTTTTTTTTAAATAATTTTAAAGAGCATTTACAGAGATTTTGGATTTCCATTCATTCATTGCTGCACTTCTCTCCCTGCCCAGCCCTCCCCGCCCTCCCCAGTCTGAGCCATTTTTAAGAGTGTCTGACATTATATACATGAAGTTTCATTTTTTTATCTGAAGCTTTATGAAGAGCATAAATAATGAGTATGAATCCTAATTCCACTTCCTAATCCTGACGTCTTAGGCAAATTACTTACTTTCTACCTTAATTTTTCAGATCTGAAAAGTGAGAATAATTCTTACTTGGTAAATTTGTTGTAATAACAAGAATTAAACATGTAAAAGATTAAAGTGCTCAAGAACACTTTATTGCTAGTGATCATCTATAGTGTCTCCTCCGACTTATGAAAACCTACTGTATGATTATAATTCTGTTAGGTTTCAACCTATGTATAAACTTAGAAAATATTAATTGCCTTTAAAGAATTTATATTCCAGGAAATTATAAACTTAGGCTGAAACAGTAGTTAAATGTGAAATTTATAGAATGCTTTTAACTAAAATATTACTCTTACATTTGCAATGTTACTGAGACCTCAGATAATCAACTAAGATACATTGTCATATCAAAAAACCTTGAGCTTTGAAATTAGGCCTACTTTTTTGTGTGTGTGTGTGCTCAAGGCCTCAAACCTGTTCCTGAGATGGTTTTGAAATTCGAGTGGAATAGACTTAAGGTCAGATTTTGGTTCCCGTGGATTTAATTTTTTCAACTTCAGCTTGACCTTGCATATGAGTAGTTGGTGGTGTGTCCCATGAAATTAGGCCTACATTTTAATTCCAGTTCTACCACTTACAAGCTTTATTTAGCTTCCAGAATTACCTACTACTGCAGGGTATTAAGGATCAATAAAAGAAGCGGAATTCTCAGTGGAGTGTATAGTTTAAATACTCAGAATGTTATATTTCTGGGAGAGCCAGATAAGGAAATGGATGAAATAGAGTCTTCTCATCACAAAAATATTTAACAGCATGAGTAAGTGGTTGAGATAAAATGATTAGACACTCTTTGTTTTTGCTGAGTGTGATAGATGAGAGGTCAGCCTAGATTAAGAGTAAGCTTCAGGTCAGGATTTTCTTTTCTGAGTTAGACATGAGGATTATTTCTGTAGTTTTAACATTTGACACATCTTTTAATATTTGGCAGTTACTTTAGATTTGGTATTTTACTCTCATTGTCTCCTGTAGAAGCTAAGGTTTCAACATCTTGAGATAGTTACACTTAACATCTTAAGATAGAGAACTGTAGCTAATAAGTCATGGGTAGCATCATGAACAACTAATAATAATAGCTTTTAAGTGAATAACTCTTATTTTCTTACTTACTATTTAAAATCTTGTCTGTCAGGAATCTGTTCTGGACTTTGACAAACCGTCAAGTGCAATTCCGTTGTCACAGCCGCCTTCAGTTGCTTCAGCCATCCCAGTCGGTATGTAATCATTCTAAGACAACTTAAAACAAACAACTTTAGGTCTAATAAGTATTTCTTTCACAGATTGTACTACTCAAGATATTTTAAGAATTGAACTATGTCTCTTACTTGAAATATAGCTCTTCTGTTACCAGAGTAATGTGTGAGTAAATTGCCTTTGTTGTTAGGTGCCATTTAGTTGGTCTTGACTCATAGAATGAAAGTTGGCCTGGTCTGTGTGATCTGCCTGTCTCTGCTCTTCTGCACATTGCTGCAGTCACTCTATCACTGACAGTTTTTCTTTCCTTTGGTGATTTTCCACTTTTCCAGTCATAACCGTTTCCAGGCACTGATCCTCCTGATGACAGGCCCACAGTATCTGAGATGGCATCAATTTTTGGCCTTGAAGGAACACTCTGGCTGCATGTCTTCCAAGACGTAATTGTTCTTTTGATAGACCATGTTGTTTTCAGTACTCTTTGCCAACCCCACAGTTCAAAGGCATGATTTCTTCTTTAATTTTCCTTATTCATTGTTCAGCTTTCGCATGTGTATGAAGCATGACAGATACACTTTAAACTGATAGCCTTGCTCTTTAATAGCACTTTCAAGAGATCTTTGCCATCAGATTTGTCAAAGGTAGTATGCCATTTGGTTTCTTGACTGCTGCTTTCATGAGAGTTACTTGTGGTTCTGAGTAAAGTGAAATCTTTGACAATCTTTTTTCTATCATAATATTGCTTATTAGTCCAGATGTGAAGATACTATCTTCAATAGCTGCTTCAAGTCCTTTTCACTTCGCTTCCAGCAAACAGGGTTATGTTACTTGAATATATTGCATGTTGCTGTGGAATTTTTTTCTAAACCTGAGACGACATTCTTCTTCATATAGTTTACCTTCTTAAATTATTTATTCAGTATACAGATAGATAAGGTTTGGTAAAAAGATAAAACCCTAACACCTACCTTTCCTGACTTTAAACCATGTAGTGTTTTTTCTGTTGAAATTGCTTTTTCGTCCATGTTTACCTTCTGCATGAGCACAAGTAAGTGTTGTGGATAATACATTCTTCATAATGTTATCTATAATGTATTATCATCCACACGATCAGTTGCTTTTGTGGGAGAAAGATAGGCAGTCTCTTCTTTAAAATGTTTGGTTTTTAAGATATATTTTAAAATGGAAGATTATCAGTCATACTGGTTTTAAATTCCTGTATTCGTATTTTGTTTTCTAACATTAATTAGAATTGATCATCCCATAAAGATTTGTAACCTCAGGACACCTAATGGAAGACCTCTGTGAGTCAGAGCCAGCTGGGCAGCCAGTGATTCAAATTGCTCTATAACGTTACATTACTTAATTGACCTGTTTGTGTTTTGTAGAAAAATCTCTTTAGCTGTTTTTTGCAATTTTAATGTTTCTTTTTGTTGTTGTTTTTTTTTTTTTTTTTTTTAACAATTCTGACTAGACCTTCATTGAGTCCCCTACACTTTAAATCTAGTGTTGAGACTCTTGGGTTCTTAACTGCAAGTGAAATTACCATGGCAGTATAGTGATTAACACAGTAACTAATGGCTGAGCTTGTATTTAAATTTGATACTTCATGCTTATTAAGCTTTTTGCTTTGTACTAGTTTTTCTTGAGAGGAGAATGAATGACTCAGAGCTATTGTCTAGTTATTGTGGGCAGTTAACATGAGCCAGAAGAATGATGCAGTAATTCCTCGGAAGAAAGAGAAAGAGAGTAATTAACAAATGCACGAGAACTGTTTTGACACAGTGGGTAAAGCAGTTGGCTGCCAACCAAGATGTAGGTGGTTTGAAAATACTGATTGTTCTGCGTGGGAGACATGTGGTGATCTGCTTCCATAGTTTATAGCCTTGGAAAATAGGACGGTGGGCCAGTACTCCTACTATGTGCCACAGAGTTGTACTGAGTTAGAATTGACATTATGGTGGTGGATTTTTTTGGCTTTGACAAAAGTGAGAAACTTTGCAAAGAGGAAACCAAACTGGAAAAAAATTATAAATGTATTTTAATACACATAATTACACAGAGAAAAAGAAATATATCACCCAGTTGAGGCTTAATTTGAAAGTTGTCAAAGTGTATCATTTATTTTGTTTTCATGCTAGCTCAGATCTCATATTCTACATAACTATTAACAGTTATTTTTAAAAATCACAGCTTGAAATTCTGCTTTGGCGCATTTAGCTTTAAAACACTATGTATTACCATTGGAACTAATATTTCACTTTGCTATAAATATGTCTCTGAATCTTTTAAGAGCTCTAAAAGAGAGTAGATGATAAATTTGACACTTCGTGTCTTCTAGTCTATACCTTTTTTTTGTAAAGTATAAATTTTCATTTCTACTCTATTGGCATGCATAAACTTTTATCTCCTTTTAATTGTTTACTATTTATTTCACTCTGTAGCATCTACGGAACAAAATCCACCCAGTCAAAATGACTTTCTTCAAGAGCCATTACAGGTAACATCTCCAGTTTAATTTTTCATTTATTCTTTTCTGTTCATGGAAATGCCTCTTGTTGTGGCAAAAATGATTAGACTTACTGTTTCTAATGTGCCTGATTAAGTTATTAAATCTATTCCCATGATACATGATATTTTTTAGGTTTATATATTTTTTAGATTTAACCCAACAGATCCTAAAAAGTTTTTCTGAAAACATATATATTCTGAAAACATATCCTGAATAATTAATAATTCCTTGTCCAGAGAATGATGATGAGCTATGTAAATAATTTTGTATATTGCTATAGTAAAAGATCTGAGGAAAGAAGTAAATTTTGGTTAACCATTGTTAACCAATTTAGCATTTCAGGAAACTAATTTCCACAGAACATAGAGATAGCAGTGGGCCAGGTAATTGAGAAATGCCGTATTATTACACTTTCATCAATACTAAATCCAAGATCTAGTTTTTTGATCATTTCCTTTAAAAAGAAATTTCTTAGTATTCTTCTGAACACTTAATGATAATTTTATTGCCAGTAGATATATCAGAGTTAAAAATGTTGACCAGGTCGTCTAATGGTTATTGCTTTTCCTCCCAAAAATTTCTGAATAAATGCCTATTGTTTACAGTGTTTTTAATATATAGTTTAATAAAGTGTAGCTCAGTTTTCAAAGTGTATTTGGGGAGTAAGGCATAAAAGTGGGGTTTTTGTTCTGCTTTCCCCCACCCTACACATTGTTTGAGGATGCTCTAGCAACTTAGTGGTAAGGAATTGTGCTTCCAACCCAAAGTACATAGTTCAAATCCACCAATGCTTCATAGGACAAATATGGGCAATCTCCTCCTGTGAGATTTACTGCCTTGAAAAGCCGCTGGAGGGTCAGCTGTGGGTTGGTTCCAACTTGGTGAAACACAACTATCCGTTGCTTGAGCTAACTAAAGCCGTTCAGTCTTTGCAATTAGGGTTCTACATAAGGCTTTCATTGGGAGCTCTGGTGGCCTAGTGGCAAGGAGCTGAGCTGCAATCCCAAAGGTATGTGGTTCGAGGCCACCAGCTGCTCCACAGGAGAAGGATGTGTGATTAACTGTCTCTGAAAACCCACCAGAGAGTCAGCTATGGGTACGCAACAACAGCAGCAACAACATAAGGCTTTCATTGAAAAATTTTTGAAAAGCCATTGGTCTAGTTGAACAGTTTTCAGATAGATACAGGTCTGTGGATGGTTGCATCAGAATCTCTTGAGCATTTTTAAAGTATGTATACTACTAGGTCTCACCTTAGAATTAATGGGTCAGAATATTATGATTTCAGCTCTTTGCAGATCTATTTTAAATAAACTCGCTCGGTAAATTTACAGTCATTGTTGGAACCACTCTTCCAAAACATGTTTATTCACAAATGCTTTGCAAAGAAATACTAATATAAAGGCTCTCTATCTAAAATTGAGAATTATATTAAAGCTTGACTGTCAGGTGAACTGAATTACTTTTAATTTAACATCTGGGAATCTTTTAGTATTAGTTACTTAAGTTCTCACAACAGATGGGCCAGGCCTACTTGCTTACTTGTTTTGAGGAATTGTCTGTTATTTTTATGAGAGGACTAGGAATAAGTCTAAAAGACATTTCAGTCTTATAACAGCTCTATATTTATCTGACATGTTCCAAAAGGTACATTTCTTTTCCTCATAATTTTTTTTTTTAAAAAAGCCTTGGTTCCTTACTCTTCTTTCCAAGAAGCAATGAATCATATCACCCCTTCAGAAAGTCTCTGGTACTGAACTGCTCTGATTTTTGGATACTCTTCATTAGTTTCCAGTTTTTATTGCTTGGGCTTCTATGACCCATATAGAAGCATTTAGATAATATTAGGAGTGGTTTCATAGATACTTCAGACTTTTCAGATGCTAAAGTTTTGTGATTGTCCTTCAGTTATCCAGTAATACCTGGTGGGCCATAGAATTTCTTTCTAGATACTTGCTGGATTCCTTATTGGTCACAGCCTTATTTTTTATTTTGTTTTCTCCAAATTTTATTTTAAGCTATACAGTCTAGCTTTAACTTTTTGTTAGAATTTTGACCTATTTTGATTTATAGGAAGTTTCTTGCATATACTTCTACATGACTTCTTTTAATAAGACTCTGACTGCTTGAGTAAAAACATATTTACCAGCAGAGAGCTGTGCCCAGAGGTTTACATGTGCCCTGAGCTTATCTGCCAGAGAACTATTAACTATTGCCAGGATGAAAATCTGGACCCAGGTTTCTTTGGCCAGTGTGATCTTCTGGGAAATAAGGGCAAGCTCCTGTGTGTTTGATAACCTCAGAATCCCTATGGAGGGTCAGCTGTGAGTCACTTCCAGCTAAACAGTGAGTTTGAGATTTGGCAAATTACTTAACGTTTCTTTGTTTATGCCTCTATGTCAGTAAAATAGGAATCATGGTCCTCATAGGCTTACTTTGAAAATTACACATTACGATATGTGTGAAGTGTTTAGCATAGTGCATGGCACTCATTTTGTTGTTTGGCGCTATCACGGAAACCCTATGAACAACAGTTGTGAACCTTGCCATATCCTGCATCATTGTCGTGATATCCGTCTTGCTCAAGTCTGTCATTGGCAGTCACTAACTATGCCTGACACTATTTACTACTGCTTAGTATGAATAGCCTATTAATAAACTAGGGAGCTCTGATGGTGTAGTTTCTAGAGTGTTACATTGCTAATCAAAAGGCTGCATCTCCATTTACTATCTGTTCAATGGGGAAAATAAAGAAGCAGTTAGGATTTACAGTCTTGGAAATCCGTTAGAGAGTTACCATGAGTCAGAGCCACCTCAATGGCAGTGAATGTATGAATGCTGCAAGGAATGTAAAAGAAACTGAATCTACCCTTTCCTCCAATTTTTCAGTTATTATTCATTCACTCATACACAGTTTCCTCCATCCTCCTCCCATAATTCCCCTTGTAAGGCTATTAATTGTCATGCACATGGTTTGTAGTTATCCATTCCTTTCAGAAGAACATTCTGAAAATGTCTTTTACAGTATTTTAAATCTTTCTGTCTAGGGTACTACTTCTCCAGTTCCTTGTAGCTCAAATGCTTGTTTGGTCACTGCTGATCAGACTTCTGGATCTGAAACGGAGTTTGTGACCTCAGGAACTCCTGAGGTAATAAGAGACCAATTGTCTTAATTTTCTTTCTGTCTTAAAGAATAGTAGAACTGGTTTATCTTATGAATTAGAGATGAATGTTTTAACATTTCTATTTTACTAATATTTTTCTTTCTATAGATATTATGATACTGGAATTTATACAAGTGAATTAATTGTAGGTTTGCTATATTTATTGATTTATTGCCTTATTAGCTAATACAGATATAGCAAAATTACTAAAATAAAAAAATGAAAAATTCAGGGTGGAGTATACCAAGTATCTCTCCATATTTACAGTGAAGCTATTTTAAGGAGAAAAATACTTCTCCATAAAAAATTAGGGCTAAATAGATTTTGTTCTTATTTTTTAAAAGAATTGTATTTTAGGAGCTCTGGTGGCCTAGTGGCAAGATGCTGCACTTCAATTCCAGAGGTACGTGGTTCGAATCCACCAGATGCTCTGCTGGAGAAGGAGGGGCAATCTCCTTCTGTACCAGTCAGATCCGATTTGACAGTATACACACACAAAATAATAAGAAATTTAAAAAAAAAAGAATTTTATTTTAGATGAAAGTTTAATAGGAAATTAATGGTGACCATTTGGTCTCATACAGTTAATTGGTTTAGGAAGAGCATTATTCATAGTTGATAGTATTTATTTTATGAATCTCTTTATTATTTGGTTAAAAAAGGACCTACAGAAATAGTTCCAGTTCCAAGTTCAGAGATTAGGGATTAGTTTTGGGGTTCCTCTAGTGTGTCAATCCAGTAGGTTTAGCCTTTTTTTTATTTTTAATTTTGTTCTACATCATTCCCTCAATTTATCAGGCCTTTTCTTATATTCCTGGTCAGAGTGATTAGTTCAATATGGTTTATAATTTTAAATTTAGCACTGACTCAGTAGAATAAGTTACACACAAATACATATATGTAAGGAAAAGCTCTTTGTTTACATTCTGGTGGTTAAGAATGTGTTTTTATTATAAAAAATATTAGTGAGGTTTAGCAACTTTTAGGGGGTTTTCTCCCTCTCCATAACAATTACATAACAATATTTATTCATTATAGAAAATAAGAAAATACAAACATTAGGCTTTTTAAAATGATGTTGACTTAGTCTAAGATAAAATTACTTGGTTCTTATTTTAAGAAGAGGAAGAAGTGTTTTTTACCAAAGGACACACAGCTGTCTGCTTTATAATCTGATTTGGATTTATCTTTCAGGTCTTTTTAAACCTGAGAATTTGTAATCATACTTTTAAGTAAAGGTTATTTAAATTAGATTAAGTTTAGTTTACTTTTTTTAGAATTTACAAGTAAGATTTTTTAAATGGAGAAACATTAACACTTAACAACTAATGTGAGATTTTCTTAAACCTAGTTTTGTTGTATAATTTTTGAAGTAATGTTAGACCCTTAACTGAAAAATACCATTTCAGGGTTGAAAAAGGATTAGTTACTCATAAAAGCTTCTCATCTGTTGGACTGATTAGTAAGACTTTCACTTAGTCAGCAAGCTGTGCAAAGCAAATACGAGTGTGCATCCTCAGCAAGTGAGATTTGAAATTGTAAGCAAAAGCTATTCTTTTGCATTCCTGTGTCCAGATGTCATCCTATAGAACTTGCTGACTTATTTCCGTCTGGGGTTTAGTGTGAGCTAACGGCTTGTTACACTGCAGGTGATTTGCTGACATGGCTTTTGTCTTCTCCAGGCAGCAGCTCCTCAAAGCAAGCAGACATCTTCATTAGCATCTCCAAATCCTCCCTTGTCCCTGAGCTCTGAACAGGGATTCCAGTCACCTCCAGCAAGTAGTAGTTCAGTAACCATTAACACAGCACCCTTTCAAGCCATGCAGACAGTGAGTATGAATTATGAATCATTATGGTTCACTTTTTCTTTTAAATGACCAACATTTTTCAGTTACTATGTCAAAAATTTGACTTTTTAATTATACATTTATTTGTCTTGGTATATTTATATTTGTCAAAGAGAAATATTGTTTGTGGCAGAAGAATATTTAGTCCACACCCTGTCTACTTTTAAATGAGCATTTATCACAACATTGTTCCCCCTCTGGAAATGAGGGAAAGCTTGGGTCTCAAATAATTAAAATGCATAGGTGAGGAAAACAATTTTCTAGAAATAACATAATGTACTAATCATTACTAATACCTTAGCAGCGGTGCTGCGTAATACCAGCAACCTGAAAAACAAGACCAGCACTAAAGTTTTTTTTAAAAAATCATTGTTGAAATTTTACTTCATTTGTTCATGGTCTCATACTGGGTCTTGGAGAATTGTTTTGACTTGTTTCGTGTTTGGAATTACTTATTCCCCTACAGTTAATGTTTTAAGACATTTTCTAAAGTGACAGCTAGATTTGCCTGCCTTTTTAAATACATAATAATGTAAAATAGGCCATTAAAAAACCAAAAACTTTTAAAATAAATACTTTTCCTTGATGGTGCTTGATGTCTTTCTCTAGGTACTTTGAACTGATGGGGGTAGGTGAAGTCAGAAGAGTAGTTATGGCAAGCAGGCTCAGTGTAGGGGAGATAGGCTGGTGCATTTAGACACCTGAAATTACTCACTTTATCCCTTTATTGGTGGCCAGTTAGAACATCTTCATTTCCTTAACTTTTTCTCTTTCCCTATCTGTTCATATATATACTGTATTGCCAAGTTTATTTTACTAACTTGAAAATCCATAGTTAAAATAATAATTAATATATTATAGATAGAAACTGAAACTCCTTTACCTGACACCCAGTACCTTTTGAAGGTTGGTATAACCTGACAGACTAGTCTCTCAAAGACTTGTCTCTCTGCAGTTTTGTCACAATGCTTATTTTGCTCAAATAAATCCCTTCTCTTCTTGTTTGACTCCTATCAAGTTGTTTCTTTTTTTTTTTAAATTCAAGTTGGTTCTTATTTATTCATTCAGTAGATAGTTATGCAGCCAAGCAGTATTCTTAATTCCTTGTAATCCAACAAGAAAATAAAAACTTTTACAGTTGGTATTCTTAAGATTTTAATGTGGAAGTGAGAGGGCTTCAGAGACAAATATATATGCACGCGCGCGTGTGTGTGTGTGTGTTTATGTGTAAAAATGTTAAGTAGTTTTATGTGATGTATAGAAGAATGTAGCAGGATAAGAGAATAATAGGCATACTAGTGAGCTCGGGTGGTAAAGAATTGTGCTGCTAACTCCAAGAAGAGCAATTAAAATCCACCAGCTGCTCCACGGGAGAAATATGAGCATTCTCCTCTTGTGTGATTTACTGGGTCTGAAAACCCATGCAAGGGTCAGCTGTGGGTCATTTCTGACTTGATGGCACACAACAACAACATTTTGTGAATAGGTTGGACAATAAACAGTAATTTATTATATTCTCTATTTTGGTTTTGAGAAAGGACTGTTCTATATTGCTTTCAGTCTTAGTAAGTACTATTATAATATACTAGCAGAAAATTAACTTTTGCTCTAGGGTTTAAATTCCTATTAAGAATCAAATAGACATTATTTAATGTTGGAGGATTTATCTGAATATCACTTTTAACCATTTCTCATGAGATTTCACAATGATTCTCGTGTACCTTGATCCTTTAGGTATTTAATGTTAATGCACCTCTCCCTCCACGGAAAGACCAAGAACTAAAAGAACCCTCTTATTCACCTGGCTACAATCAAAATTTTACTACAGCAAGTACACAGACACCACCGCAGTGCCAACTGCCAGCCATACACGTAGAACAAACTGTCCTTTCTCAAGAGATTGGTAAGATTTTTGCATATGACATTTTGAAGATTTTGATGACAGTTCAATGAATGGAAAGCAATTTTGTACTGATACTGTAGACATTATTTCCTGACTAGTAGGTTTTACCTCATCATGTGGTTTTTAAAACAGTGCAACAATGAATGAATGAGAACCCAAAATCTCTGTAAATGTTCATTAAAACTAATAAAATTTAATAATAATTTAAAAAAAGAAAAATAATTTAATGCCTTTTATTCAGTTAAGTTCACCTCTTTTAAAAAACAAACCGTTTTATTGTGTCCTAGTGCTAAGTTTACACAGCAAAGTAGTTTTCTATTCAGTAATTTATACAAAAAAGTCATGTTTCATGACGCTGGTTTCTGTCCCCACAGTATGGTAGCACTCTTTCTGTTTCCACTCTGGCTTCCCCTTGCCTTTGCATCTTTGCTTTGGGGCAAATATTGTTCTCTTGTTTTAGGGTAGTTGATTGTTCTAAGGAGCACATGTCTCATAGGAGTTATTATTTATTTATAGGCTGTTTTCACCTATTAATTTTAACGTCTGTAGAGGTAGACCTTTGATGGCTGATTCAACCTTAAAGTAGGCTTGCATTTTTAATGTAATTGCTTTGATTACCTTAGACAGTGATTTAGGATAATACTTACTTCTTACTTTAAGAAGCCTTTTAGATTTTTAGGTGTTGGCATTTCAGAACCCTACAGAGTTTTGGGATAACATCAAAGAAAACATGAAGAAAGCAAGAGATCATTAAAAGAAAAGACCAAAATGTCAGAAGAAGCTCTGAAATTTGCTTTAGAATGTAGAGTAACATTCTTTCTCTCAAAAAAAGGAAAAGAGATGAAATAAAAAGAGCCAAACAGGAAATTTCAAAGGGAAGCTTGAGAAGATAAAGAATTATCATGAAATATGCAAAGAGATTGAGTTAGAAAATCAAAAGAGAGGGTTCCAGTTTTTCCACAACCTCACCAGCATTTGTTGCTTGCTGTTTTGTTAAATTTTGCTATTCTTACTGGGGTAAGATGATACCTTGTTGTTTTGATTTGCATCTCTCTTAGAGCTAGGGATTTTGAATGTTTCTTCATGTGTTTGTTCGGCATCTGAATGTCTTCTTTGATGAAGTTCATATCCTGTGCCCATTTTGCAATTAGGTTATTTACCTTTATCTTGTTGTGGTGCTCAAGTATTTTATAAATTCTAGAAATAAGTCCCTTATCTGACATTCATTACCAAATATTTTTTCCCAGTCTGTGGCTTCCCTTTTTACCGTGTTGGAGTTTTTGGATCTTCATAGGGATTTTATTCTTAGAAGGTCTCATTCATCTCTGTTGGTTGGAGTGTAAAATGGTGCAACCACTAGGGAAGGCAGTATGGCGTTTTCTCAAAAAATTGGAAATAGAAATGCCATTTGACCCAGCACTTCCACTACGGGGACTATATACTAAAGAAACCAGAACTTCCACCCATTCAGATATATACACATCCATGTTTATTGCTGTATTGTTCATAATAGCAAAGAGCTAGAAACAACCCAAGTGCCCAGCAACAAACAAGTGGCTAGAGAAGCTTTGGTATGTACACACAATGGAATACTATGCTGCATTGAAAAACAAGGAACTTAAGAATTATTATACAAAATTAGTGACCCTGGAGGATGTTTTGCTGAATGAAATACCTCAGTCACAAAAGGACAAATACTGCATAAGGCCACTGTTGTAAAGCCGGACTGACATCAGGTTTGGGTGGAAACTAAGAAAAGGGGCTATAAATAATGTATACAGCATTGAAACAGATGAGGGAGAAAACTGTTTAGGAGGAATATATGAATAGATATTATTGTCATGGGAAAAAAAAGAAAATCAAAAGAGAACACACTTGGCATTTCTCAGACTGAACTGAAGGAAGAATTCAGACTTTAAGTTGTAATACCAGGATGGGCAAAATATTGAATGATTTAGAAAGCATCAAAAGATGGAAGGAGGTAGCATATGATCAAGAACTCATGGTACTGAGGGAAGTCTAAGATGCACTGAGAGCATTGTTGAAAAATAAATTCTAGGAGTTGATGAAATACCAACCCAACAAAGATATTTCAATAAATTGGTTTAGTGGTGAACATACTCATTTGAGTGTACCAAGAAATTTGGAAGACAGCTGGTTGGCCAAATGACTGACAGAGATCCATATTTGTGATCATTACAAAGAAGGGTGACACCACAGGATGTGGGGATATAAAATAATATCATAAATAGAACATGCAAGTAAAATGTTGGAGATAATTAAAAAATGCTTGTAGCAGTGCATGGATAGAGAGCTGCCAGAAATTCAAGCTGAGTTCGGAAATGTGAAGGGAAATCTTTGCTGATGTCAGGGTAATCTTGGCTAAAAGAAGAGACTACCAGAAAGGTGTTAGTAATATGTTTTGTTGACTTTGAAAAGGCATTTTATTGTGTGTATCACAACAAATTATGGATAACAATGAGAAGAAATGAGAAGAATGGGAAGTCAGAACACTTCATTATTTTATGCAGAGCCAGTACATAGACCAAGAAGCAGTCCTCACAGAACAAGGGGCTACTGTTTGGTTAAAAATCATGGTTATGTCCCTTCATTATACTTAATTGGTCTGTATGGGATGTATTTTCACTTTTTCTGTTAAATGCTTATCTGTTGGATGCTTCTCTAAATCTGAACATTAAGATTGACACACATTAGGAAGAAGGATTAGCCATTCACTTCCAAAATAGCAGGCCTCTGAAAACCCTGTGTACAACAGAACACACGTAGAATGACAGAAAGGGCAACTGAGTATGGAAATAACAAAGGAAGAGGAACAACTGTAAGCAGGCACTAGTGATTGGACTGCGGCAATCGGAATGAGTGTGTTGGAGACAGTGAGATTGGCACAGGACAGAGCAAAGTTTGGAGCTGTTGCACATAGGGTCGCTATGAGTCACAAGCGACTCGGTGGCACATAAGAACAACAACATGCTGAGCAAAGAAGCAGAGAAGCTAAACTATAGGAGAAGAACCAAGCATCAGAATTTGAGTAAGATGAATGGCCCCTGATATGTAGAGGAAAAACCTGGCATGCTGAATGCAAAGAAGACTTTATACATTTATTGATGAAAATCAGAGACTACAGCCTTGTATGGGTTACATCTGACTATAAAACAAAAATCCTCAAACTAGACCAACAAGGAACATCATGAAAGTGAAGAAACAATTGAATTTATCCAGGATTTAATTTAATTGTATATGCAACCCATGTCCATGGAAGCAGCAGTCAAGAAATTAAATGACATGTATTGCATTGGAGAAATTGTCTGCAAAAGACCTATCTTTAATAGTGTTGAAAAAAAAGTGTTGGAAAATAATAATGTTATTTTTGAGGACTAAGGTGATGTGCCTGACCCAAGCTAGGGTATTTTCAGTTGCCTTATGTGCATGTAAAAGCTTAGGATAATGAATTGATAGAGCAATGAACAGAGGAAATCAAAGACAAATTGATGCCTTTGAATTGTAGTGCTGGTGGAGAATATTGAATATACCATACACTGCCAGAAAGAACAAACAAATCTGTCTTGTAAGAAGTAAAACCAGAATGCTCCTTAGGACCAAGCTGGTGAGACTTTGTCTTGGGCTTTTTGAACTTGTTATTAGAAAGGGTCAATCCCTGGAGAAGGACATCATGCTTCGTAGAGAGTTAATAAGAGGAAGATCCTTAATTAGATGTCTTGACACAGTGGCTTTAACAGTTTTCTCGGATGTGATGATTGTGAGGATGGTGCAAGACTGGGCTGTGTTTTGTTCTGTTGTATTTAGCGATGGATGACTGTGAGTCAGAACCAACTTGATGACACATCTAGAAACAAGATGGAATACTCTAAAACATAGTATGAGTAAATGAATTGAGCAGAGTAACTTCAAATCCTCAGATGTGGCTACAGATGACCTTTATCTCTGCTCACCTGATAGGACAGGTGATTTACATAAAATATATTTTTGTCATGTGATTTCAATTTATAATGTCAATTAGAATTCATTTCCTTTGATTCCCAGCTCTGTAACATATTTAGCTTGGAGTTTTTTTTTTTTTTTTCTTTAGAAAATGTCATTAAAGGTTTTAAGTATAAAAGAGTATTGAATGTTTATTACCATTTAAATTTTGGATTCTCATATTGTTTCCTTAAGCAGCAAATTACCACCCTGATGGAACTATTCAAGTAAGCAATGGTAGCTTTGCCTTTTACCCAGCACAGACGAATGTATTTCCCAGACCCACTCAGGCATTTGTCAACAACCGGGGATCCGTTAGAGGATGCACGCGTGGTGGGAGACTACTGATCAACTCCTATCGGTCCCCTGGTGGTTATAAAGGTATGTTGGAAATAATATATAATTACTCTATTTTCATTATATAGGTGCCTGATTTCAAACTGTTTTTAGTTTATGTTTTTCCCTTTGCCTTTGTCATTTAAAATATCAATACTAGTTAGAATTCCCTTTTTTTTAAAAACTGGAAAAGCTGTTATTTCTGGGAATCTGTTGCAAGTGAATGAACCTGTGAGAGAAGGAAGAATTCCCTTTTTGTAAAGAAACTTGTTGATCCAGTGACTTACTGAAGTATAATAGTTGGCCCATCTTGATTTTCCAAGGGATGAATTTTGGTTTTTATTTATTTGTATAATTAAGTCTTTTTATTATTAACTGTGCTCAGAATGTCATAATTAATTTGTTGTGTTGTTGATTGCCTTCGAGTTGAGCACAACTCATAGCAACCTTATGAACAAAAGGCCTGAAACTTTTCTATAACTATCGACATTTATCAAAGTTCATAGTTTCCAGAGGCATGTTGTTTAGGAAGAGGATGCCACTCTTGCTTCCAAATAATTAATTTATGTACTGCTAAAGCAAGTATAGAATGTGTCTTCTGTCACCGATTAAAACACAAGTTGAGAGAATATAATCATTATGTTCTCTTAAGTTTTAGATACTCGTTCTAAGCATTGTACTTGCTGGTTGGTATTAACAGAAATAGTCTAGACAAAGCTATAGTTACCTGTTTGTCCTACTAACACCTCTGTATCCCTCACCTACATTTCCAGCAGTAGTAAATTTCTAAAACTAGCCAATTTAAACAATGATATCATCTAATTGTTAGTTTTACTGTAAAGCTACATTTAAGGATAGCATGATGGAATCAGTTGAACATATAAAGCTTTGGTAGAATTAGACTGTTAAAAGTTTCAGTATAATTTTGCTTAAATTGTTTATTTGTTAGGTTTTGATACATATAGAGGACCTCCTTCAATTGCAAATGGAAATTATAGCCAACTACAGTTCCAAGCTAGAGAATATGCTGGAACATCTTATTCCCAAAGGGTAAGAGTAGTTGTCATAATTCAGTTGGTTAAACCCTTAATGTATCAACATTTGTTTGCAGAAGTGCATTGCTAGTTTTACCATTACTTGTAAGTGTCCTATGGAGAATTCTCTTGGAAGCTTTTCCCATAACCTTAGGGGAATTAATGATTGCTACTAGTTATATGGAATTTAGTAGGTAGTAAGGGACTTTACCAGTTGTGTTGTTTGCATTAACTCACTCGTCTACTCTGAAAAAGAAATTGGATTCAGAAAGTAAAGTCATTCAGCAAGTGAATGTCTCATCAAGGTGCTAAGTTCAGATTCTTCTGGGATTAGAACTTGAGTTCTTAACTTTAACCCAGCTTTTCAAAATATCAAATACAACAAAGTCCTTTTAAATCTAATTTTTATGTGTCTGTTTATTCCTATTTAAATAGCTCAGCAGAATTCTTCATGTTTAGTAAAAGTCTGATAAGTGAATGTTAGACATTTCACCTTTACAAACTTCAGAAATGTCTGTTATTGTTGTTATGTGCTGTTGAATCAGAACCAAGTCATAGCTGATGCTCTTGAGCTTTTTAGAAGCTGTACATTTCATGGAAAGAGATTACCCATATTTTTCCCACAGAGGAGATGATGGATTTGAACTACTTGCCTTTGAGTTAATAGTGCAACTCCTTATTCACTAGACCACTAGACCTCTGTCACTGGACATATATAAATACTAGTAATATAAATATACTAGATAGCATTTTGAATTTTTAAGTTTAACCAGTTTTTAAATATGACCATGATGAGTGTAAATATGTACTGAGTTCTATAGATAATAGATAAGTATCTGTACTTGAAGAACTTAATGTTGTCATAATGACCTCTTTAATTTCATCACTTCTCTTACTGTGAGACGTTGAGCATACTATTTAAACTTTTGGAGCTATAATCCATCGGATAGACATGGACCGACTCTAAGAGTAACTCCTCTAATTTGGAGGCTTTGTATGGATTGCTTTAAATCAGAGGATTAAATGAGCTTAAACACTTAACATACAGTGCCACACGTTCATCAAATAAGCAAACCTAGCTGTTTTTATCTTTTTAGCGACTCTGCATACTACTTTTGCCTTTGTTTTTCTTGGAGTTTGGCAATATCTGTGTCTCTGCTTACTGAAGAAGGCTAGATAATGAACTAAGAGGACTTTATTCTTACAAGTTTGTCATCTAACAATCTTGATTATTAACTAATTTTAGTACTAGTGCGTTATTGTCATAGGAAGCATTGTTTTGATGCTAAGATAAACGTTAAGTGTTTGTTTTAGGAAAATTTCCAGCAGTGTTATAAGCGAGGAGTAGCATCTGGTGGTCCTCGGGTGAATTCAAGAGGTAAGTGTATTTACCCAAGTTGTTTATGTATCTCAGCCTTTGTGCATCCTCTGTCAAGTTCTTGTCAAACCACTGTGCTTTCAGCATTAGTCTAATTAAGGTTTATTTGTTTACATGTGATGCTGAAGAACTGTGGGAGATCTTGGAATACTACAAAGGCGAGATCTTAGAATACCACAAAGGCTGTGGAAATCATTTGGCAATTTAGTTAGACATATATGTATGTTGTTGGCTTTTTTAATTTAAAAAAAAAAAGCTTAACACTAGATGTACAAAGAGCAAGAGCCTCGTGGGGAGCACCGTATCTGACCTTTCCCAACTTTATGGGGGAGAATTGTCCCCATCCACAGCATCAGTAACACAGAACCAACTCCCATGAGGTCAGATACGTCTCCCTGCTTCCATGCCTCTCTCCACTCATCTCAACACCAATCTTACTGCTTTTGTAGGTCCAGAATCCATTGCGATAGATCATAGACCACATAGAGCCATATCAGGGAGGTAAAAAGGTTATAATCCAGATTAATAAAAGAATGCAGTCAAGACAGCTCCCGAAATGTGTATGCAGGCACCTCAGCATGAGCTTCATGACTCCAAGTGTTCCCAAGTTCTCAGTCCTGCCAATAATGGCTCCCTTACACCCAAGGTCTCATCTCATCTCACATCAGTTCTCCAGTTCAGCCATGGTGGTGGCTGCTGTCTTGAAGCATGCCCTGCATTTCACCACCTTGGGGCAGGTTTCTCTTTAGCTGGGGGAAGAATTCCTATCCTCTGCAGCTGAAGCTGTTTTCTTTTGTAGATAGTCGAGAGTGGCCCTTGTGGAATCTTAGGTAGCTGGTCCCTTTGTAGATAAGCCAGCATGCCTCAATCACATAGTCCTGCCCCTCCACATAGTCACCCATGCTAGAAAATCCATACTGAGAGACAGACTCCACATTATAGTATAATTTAACTTTTGTAGATACCATTTTTCAGAGTCCCTGGGTGGTGTAATCAGCTAATGTTCTTTGCTGGTTATCTAAAGTTTAAAAATTCAGGTCCACCCAGAGGCACCTCAGAAGAAAGATCTGGTGATCTACATCTGTGACATTAGATATTAAAGACTTAGATATTAGGTACAAAAGACATTTCTACTCGGAAACACATGAAGTCACCATGAATAGGTGTGAACTTAATAATAACTGGTTTTGAGATATATTTTTCATGTTATATTTCTGAATGATTGTAATAAAAGATCATTCTAAAGATTCTAAAAAGATGAGAACATCTCCTCCTATTACATGCAATGTACAACCTCAGAAACCCAGTGGAAGGTCTTTTTGAGTTCTGATTGTGGGACTTGAAGGCAGAGGGTTTGTGGGTTGGTTTGGGTTTTTTGTTTTCCCTTTTGGATTCTAGATACTCCAGAGTCCTGGTGGTGCAGTAGTTAAGCTTAGGACTGCTAGCCAAAAAGATCGGTGATTTGAGCTTACCACCTGCTCCACTGGGGAAAGATGTGGCATGTGTAGTGGTTTTACTCTGCCTGTTTAAGGTTGCTTATGATTGGAGAAGAACTTGGTGGCAAAAGGTGATTTTTAACAAGTCTAAATAACTCTAGTGTTACTGTATTGATAGATCTGAAAAAGCTGCAGTTAAGACACAATTATTAAACAAGATTTTTTTCAATACTTTTAAAATGTAAGAAGACTACATTTAAAAAATCCAGTAGAATTGAGAAAATCAAGAATTACTGAGAAAAACTTTGCCACAGGAAAAACGTTACTTTTTTTTTCTTTTTGGAAAAAGTAGCCCGTATTTACCGAGCATTATTTGTCACTTAAAACAGTAACATTTCATCATGAATATTAACTTGAAAATAAAGAACAAGTTTCATCTTGGGGCCCAATGCCATAATAAAAATATCTCTGAATGGCTAATGTCTGATAGTTCTAAACATTGATTCTTTTATGTAGTCTCATTTTTCTTGACTCCTTCATCAGGTCTTTTGAGTAGAAGAGTGGTTACTGAAAACCTAAGAACTGATTGAAAATTATAAAAGAAAGATAAAGGAGTTTTTTAATCTGAGTTTTAGACTTTGCAAGCCATAGCTTGTGTTGTTATCGAATCTTTAGAGGGCTTTATTTTTTAATTTTTAGAAAGAAAAATGAGACTTTAGAACACTAATATAAAAGCCTATTGCAGAAAAATCTAGAAAAACAAGCCATACTTTATTGCTCTGTTATTGGAATTTACTGTAAAATGTATTTTTATGTGTTTCAGTAGCCGACTAATGTTAAATATTGTGTTCAAAGCTAACTACTTCATTATGAGAAACTCACTGTTGCTAATAAAACAGCAGGGTGGAGTGATTCTTCTCAGGTGAGCAGCCCAGAAAGAGACAACGAAACCTTTAACAGTGGTGACTCTGGACAAGGAGATTCCCGTAGCATGACCCCTGTGGATGTACCAGTGACAAATCCAGCAGCCACCATACTGCCAGTACATGTCTATCCCCTGCCTCAGCAGATGCGAGTTGCCTTCTCAGCAGCCAGAACCTCTAATCTGGCCCCTGGAACTTTAGACCAACCTATTGTGTTTGATCTTCTTCTGAACAACTTGGGAGAAACTTTTGATCTTCAGCTTGGTCGATTTAATTGCCCGGTGAATGGCACATATGTTTTCATTTTTCACATGCTAAAGTTGGCAGTGAATGTCCCACTGTATGTCAACCTCATGAAGAATGAAGAAGTCTTGGTCTCTGCATATGCCAACGATGGTGCTCCAGACCATGAAACTGCTAGCAACCATGCAATTCTTCAGCTTTTTCAGGGAGATCAAATATGGTTACGTTTGCACAGGGGTGCAATTTATGGAAGTAGCTGGAAATATTCTACATTTTCAGGCTATCTTCTTTATCAAGATTGAAAGTCTGTATAGAATTGACAATAAAAGGAAAGTAATTGTTCTCACTGGTGGATTAAGAAAAAGTAGTCTTTGTTCTCATGACTGATTGGTTTAGAAAAAATGTTTTCATGCATAAGAAAGGAGGAGGGCCTTACTATTTTTTTTTTCCTCCCCAAGGTTAAACATTTCAAGTTGAATGATAATTAGCACTAATCTGGCACCTTAAAATTGTGATGTAGCCTTGCTAGTCAAGCTGTGAATGTATATTGTTTGCACTTAATTCTTTAATTGTATTAATGTTCTACTTACTAAACTGCCTCAAGTTCAGGCAAGTTATAATGCCTTGTTGTGCCTCAATAATAATAAAAAAATTATGTGCACCCTCAGTGTTCTGACTTGATTACACATTTAGAGATGATAATGAACCTAACTTTCATTATTACTAATAGCTCTTGAGTGGGTTCTCACGGGTTCACTGACAAGGTCAGTGAATCTGAATTTTTGTTTTCTACTTTCCAGTATATAGTCAGGGAGATAGTGTGTGGGTCATACTAGTTAGTGGTCCATCATCATTCAGGCTTATGCTTTCTAGTGGATTCTCAGTTTGAGACAAAATTATTAGTTATCAGAAAATTTAGTCTCTCTCATCAGTACTATGTGTGTATGTGGTTTCTACCACTTGATAAATGATCTTGCACAAACTTCTAAGCTCTGTATTCTTTAAGCCTATTTTTCTAAATGTCAAATGAAGATAATAAACCAACCTCATAGGGTGTTTGTGCAGCTAAATTAATTCTGTACCAGAAAGAATCAATATAATGCTTAATATACAGGTATTTGATAATTGTTTTGTCATCTACAAAACTTTGGGTTTTATGTATGTGTACATAATATCTTTTTAAAAAAATATTTTTGTATATAACTGTCTTAAACAGGATAGCATACATTGCCAGAATTCAGGATTTGTTATTTGTAGTATTTTATCACAGTTGGCTTCTTACACTTGTCTATATCTCTCCTACTTATTTGCTACATTGATGAATAAGAATATTTTACTTCCCAATTTAAAGAATTCTTTTTATTATCCTTGAAAGGTTCCAAAGCAAAATTTTTATTTAAACATTCATATACATTTTGTTTTACAACATTAATTTTAGTATCTATACTTTTTTTACTTCCTCTCTCAAATTCTAATTTCCAGTAATCATTCTGTACCTCTTTGTGTCTTCCTTTTTTTTAGTG